TACAACAACTATGATAATTTGCAATACAATTCGACAGCAGGCGGGTCAGCAAATTGGACATGGTTGCCAAATCCACCAAACAATACAGCCGGCACTGGTGGTTCGGGACCGGACATTTATTCACGTTCGCAATGGACAGGTAATGCTCAATCGACAACCGGACCATTGAGCGGTATTCGCGCTGGTCCAGGTAATTCGGCATCAAAAAGTGGCTCCGAATACGATTACAGCGGTTATGGATCTGGCTCTGGCTATGACTATGATTATAACAACTATGCAAAGGATCAAAATAATTACACACAACGTTCATATGGCAACGATACAGCTGTATCCTCACAATATCCGCCAAGCCAACAAGCTGTTTAAATAATCATAAATAACGCCCGTAAAACAGAACACGAAAAAGAAGAAGAAAATTCAATAATTTTTGATACAATGAACAATTAATTTGTGTGGACGGGAAAGAGGAAATGCCGATTATTGCAAAACCGGTTTCACAATAATCGGCATTTCTACACTACTAATTTGCATATGGCTGATGACGTAGCCGCAGAAACGTCTAAAAACATTTTTTGGTCATTTTCGACCCATTACAATACTTTTCCCTAATACACTAAAAAAAACCAGAGACTGTTGCTCAGAGCAGAGCTCTGAGGAGGAGCAGCTCTGAGGAGCAAGAGCAGGCTGAGGAGCAGTGCTCCTCATCAGTGAGGAGCCAAATAAAATTTAATTTATTACATTTATTTTAATTATTAAAACTAAATATTTTATGTTAAAATTTGAAATCATTTATCAATAGCATGAGTTTAAATACATTTTGAATACCTAAGTACAGAAATATATGTTTCGTTGTAAATAACTTTTATGATGTCAAATCAAATGTTTGACGTTTATAAGTATGATCGGTTCACAACGTCAATGATTTAAAGTAAGTACGTAAACTGTACTTAGATTGATAAATGATTTCAAAATTCAAATTATAACATAAAATATTTAGTTTTAATAATTAAAATAAATGTAATAAATTAAATTTTATTTAGCTCCTCACAGATGAGGAGCACTGCTCCTCAGCCTACTCTTGCTCCTCAGAGCTGCTCCTCCTCAGAGCTCTGCTCTGAGCAACAGTCTCTGAAAAAAACACAGAAGAAAAGATAGCAAAAACGACAAGGGGAAATTCATCGGTATAGTTCAAAACATAGGATTGGGGTTAAACCAACATTGTGAAATGAAATCTCAAAATGGATCAAGGATTCAATGCCAATGTAATAATAGAATTGGATTTTTTTTTTCATATTTTTTGTTTTGTATATGTTCTAAATGATTCGATGTCATACGCTGTAATTAACCAAAAATCTAATGTGGTAAAAAAAATGATAGAATTTTAAAGTTGAAATTGTCGTTTTCTTTTATTTTAATAAATAGATGAAATTTGTCAATAATAACTTTGCATTTTAATAATTAATTTCAAAGGTAAAATGTTAATCAACAGTATTTATTATGAGAAACAATCAGATTGTTTAAGTATAATTAGATTCTTGTGGCTTTTTGGAAATTGTCTTAAGTTGTTTTGTTGTCTTAACATGGTAATTATTGCAAAAAAAAGTTTGTTTGTTTGTCTACATTTTCAAATTTGTCTAATTGTATCAAATACAACGAATTTCATCAGCTAAATATTGTTAGACTGCATTTACAGAGATAATTTGTTTCTTTCATCTCCAAAGTGAGTAAAGTCCTCAAAGAATACTCAAAAATATTATATTTTGAAACTTGGATAAAAAGAGAAACAACCATAAATTGCTTGATTGATTGATTTGTTTTTTTTTATGGTTTTTCTTTTTAATTCTTAACATGGTTTTAAATTCAATTTTTTGTATGGATTTAGATTTGAAGTATGCACACACACACACAAATATTTTGTGGAAACAAGTGTTCTCAATGCAAATGCATTTATAATTGTCGTCAAAATACATCATTTTAAAATGAAACTCTCACAATCGGTATCATTTATTCTAAATTAAATACATCACTTGGCGGCATTTAAAACTATGTCACTTGTTTTCGCAAAATATTTTGACGGTGTGCATGTATTTTGTTTTCTTCATCTTCATTGCATCAAATCTATACAAATTAAACTAGTTTTAATTTAGTACTGACGAAAGAAAATCTATTTATCTATACATCATCACGTCAGTTTGATACATGCACATATAACCGTCACAAAACAGACGCTTTGCGTGTTCTGGCAACGATTTATCACTTAGATAACGTTCATTAAGCTCCTTCGAACCATCCTCGGATAACCACAGTGGTAAATTTGGCACCGAAACTACTTCTGGAATATTGTAGCCATTTTGTTCGCCTGATGAAAAATGATAATTTTCATTAAAAAAAAATTTCAATAAATTCAATCAACAAAATGTCACCTTTTCGATCGGCCATCGAATCAAAAAAACACCATGGAGCATCAGCGCCTGAGCCACATTTAACAAAGGCAACGTAATGTGATGTTTCAATGCACACCACAGCAAATAGTTCCATAAAAATTCTCGGCACACTTATGTGCTCGGCCATGATTAAAAAATCATGTGGCACTTTAAGCTCTTGTGGGATATGATTTGTCCGACGATCATGTGAATGCACTTTATCCAAACACGTTCGACAAAAACTGGTTGTCTCCAAACCAGCACCGAATTGCAACGATCCATAGCATTGTTTGCACTCCAATTCGGCCAATTTGCCGCATACACAACATTGACGTGGGGCTGAATGGTGTTGGAAAGAGAAAAAAAACATTAATGAAACATCTCGCGCTGAAAAAAAAAACAAAACATTTTTCGATTCTTACAGCCTTCGATGATATCGGTGACATCTAATACTTGAGATGGTAAAATGCGAGGATACCTAGGGTTTATCACATAGGAAATTATCAGTAATGGAATAGACATTTTTAAGTGATTGGAACGTACATTTTGAAATTTTTGCCAAATCGTGGCATTTGAATGATTAAACAAGATGGGACCTCTTTCAATTTTATGTCAGACGCTAGAAAACTCTGTTCAAACAACTGTTGTACGGTTGGAAAATTCAATCGTTCATCTTTTTCAACAAATAATTGATAGTAGAAAGCATCCTGGCCCGAATTTAACTGCAAATTATTTGAAAATTAAATGTTAAAACTGGTGCGATACGAAAAAAAAATGTCATTTACCTTTAAAAATGGTTCAGCTCTCATGATTTGTGTTAATAAACTATTTAGAAATTCTTCGGGATCTTTCTCCTCACAAGTAAGCCCTGTCACCGAACTCAAACGTTCCAATAATTGTCTCAATTTCATCACTCGATCAGCACGAACAAATAAATTCTTTCGCAATGGATTCACAATCTCCTCTCTTAACACTTTTTGCACTTCAGTGTAACTGGCTATATCCTATTGTTAAAATGTAAAATGGCATTAATTCTAATGGCATTGGTTTGTTATCACATCATACGGAATGCATACTTGTGGATCAGCCGGTCGAAATAACAACGAATCAAACACACAAGTAAATGTAAACATTGCAAACAGCGTTGCATCCAAATAACATGAATTATAGTGACCTTGAATGCCTTTGAATTTCCCTGACACTTTTTCGAGCTCTTGAAGTTTTACAAATTCTGGAAATCGAAATTGTTATCCAAAAAAAAAATTAGAATGATTTGAACACAAATTTGAATGCAGCAAAATTTTGAGTAATAAGCCGAAAATGTTTCTACATACTCAATGGTGACATCGATCCTTGAATAATCGGACAATCGATATGACCAAAATTTTCCGCAGCTTTTCTCTCACTCTCGTACTGTGATTGTGATGGCGGTTTGACATCTTGGAATCGCCGGTCAACGGTGCATTGTTCAGGTTCAACGAATAATGCTCTTCCTAAAAAATTGTAAATATTGAGTTTGGTCCACATTTATACAAAGAAAAAATTGCATTGCTTTCAAAATAAATCATAATCGCTCACCAGGCGGACATGTGAATAGTCGAACACCATTTATCATTCCATCGTCGACCGATTGCGTTGGAAGTTCATCCTCTAGTTCAACACCAACCATCAAACATTTTGTGCATGGCAAATTACCAATCCATCTGATTACACCATAAATATTTTCACAATTTTCACGAGTTATCTACACATACACACACATAGAGAGAGAGAGAGAGAGAGAGAGAGAGAGAGAGACCACTTTTAATTAGTATATTCATTGGAGAATTAACATCAACTTACCTCAACCATGGAGCCAATGTCCAAATTCAATTTTATTAAGTGATCTGATTTTGTGACAGCCGATGACGTGGTTGGGGCCAGCAATGCTGCCTTTGATTGTGCTTTTTGATAATCACTTGATTCATCTTTTTCTGCAAGTAAAATTAAATCGAAAAAAAGATGATTTAGTTCAACAGGTAAGCATTTAAATTAATAGGAACTGTCGATGTTAGTTTAGTCTCCATAAATGCCTCAACCTTTCCTATGACCATTTATTCTCGGAGCAGGTGGCGAACGTCTACCATTGCAATATTCAAGCACTGGTAATGGAATGTGATCATTGTCGTAGTATCTGTGTTCCATCGGGTCGAGAAAGAAAAACTCAATGCAAAGTGACTTTCAATTGAAAACCAAGACAAATAAGTGTACAAAAGGGCTTATCAAAGATTGCAAAAGAAGATTTTATTTTTTTTGCGACGATGACAGTCAAAATTAAAACACGACGTTTGCTATTATTAGATCAATTCTTATTCGAAAGTCGCGCACAGACTGATTTGTTGTTGATTTGTTTTTGCCCCAAGAGACGTGCAAATTGCTCAAAGTGATGTGCGTTTGAGTCATAATGTTCCGCTTAAACGCATGCGCTTTATTCTACATTAAAATCGTACGCAAAAATATGCTCAATATGTTATTCAGTATTGTCAGCGAAGTCATGGCTAAAATACGTGAAAAACAAAAACAAAAAAAGTTTGTATCCAACTCACTTGAATTTGATTCTGAGCTACCGTCCGAATCTAAATTGATAAGATTTCCGGTTGTAACAAAATGATTTGTATTGTTGCTTGCATTTCGTTTGGTAATTTTCGATTGTCCAATGTGTGACAATGGATTTTTTGAGCGATTTCGTTCGATCGCATACATTCCGGTCGCTTGTTGACAACTAATTGATGAATTACTTGTACTTGTGCTACCGCTGCTGAAATTGTACGGTGCTGCTATGCCACCACTATTGCCACCGGTTCGATTGTTTAATGCTAATGCTAAATCACCAGCCGATGCTGGCCAATTGGTTTCCGTCAATAATTCCGCTAAATCTATATCACCAGTAGCCTTTGGATGTAATTTACGTGGTTTTTCCACAACAATGACCGTGCTCTCATTGCTTGTTGACTCTTTGTAATCCGCATTATCAATGACAACAATATCACGGTCTTCTAAACTTAAAATGGTGTTTGGTTTCACATTTGCAGCGCTCGATGCAGTCGATGAAACAGGTCGTTTTGTTAATGACCTAGAACTCGAACGATTTAGTGGTGGTGCTGTTGTTGTTGCTGCTTTTATTGCACCGCTACTGCCACCATTTACATCCAATTGGTGTGGTGCATTTGATGATTTTGCATACGATGTTACATGATTTGTTTCACTCGATTTTTTTTCATGTTGATTTGGAATTAAAAATTCTTTTTCATCAAAATGATTATTTGTATTGTTCAACAACCTTGATTTTGGCATTTCTCTTTACAATGAAAATAAAATAATAATCCCTAATTGTAAGTGCTGTTTGTATATTTTTAAAAACTTTTTTTCACACAATTACCACTATTTATTCATATTACGCATATACATACGATAGTTTCACTTTAACATCGCAATAACAAAATTAACACTTGCCATTTATTAAGAATGATTCAGTTTTTCCATTTTATTTCATTTCGTATTTTGGTTCACATATAGCACTTGGGATGAACGAAAAAAAAAACAAGTACACAAACTTACACGAAAATACAATCGCATTTTTGTAAATAATAATTCTCATTCACTTGTCAAGTCGCCGTTAGTTCGGAATACGAACACCAGACGAACGAACACTTGAGGCAGAGAAGGTCGTTTTTATTGTAATCATTCGGAACGAAAAACATACATATTTAATTGAATAAATTCTACAAATATATTGAAATAAAAAAATCCGAATGATTAATTCCACGAAATTCAAATCATGCAAATGAATAAAATAAAGAATAAGTTAGTTAGGTGTTGGAAAAACTCGAATTACATCTGTTGAGTACATTTCAATTAATGTTTTAAGTATGGCTATACGAACTGTCACCGCCGTACTTAAACGTAATAGAAATATTTGGCAGTAAAAATTGACAGCCGCACATCGCATCAACTCAGAAGCGAAGAAGTAACTATTGCGATTTGGCGTGCTTCATACAATCGCATTATATTTTTGACCAAAAATACCATTCGAATTCAATTTTAGTCGTTAGTTTTGTGTAATTTCAGTAAATAAACATCATGTATGATAATGAAGAAGGTAATTTGTTCAAGTTTCATCGAATTTTTGTGTGTAAAAATGATTTGAGCTCGTAGAGCGATGCCAGACCGGTTGACACAGCCATTGTTGTTCGTAGATGTTACATTTATGCATCACGCTGACTGATTGTGAATGGATGAACAATGCATTTGATTGTTTGCCTTTTTGTTTCGGTGGAAAATGTTTCGAATTTAATTTAAAAACAACGAAATTCTTTGAATTTTATATTGAAAAAATGTGAAAAAAGTGATGTTTAGGCACGCTTTCTGGGTTACTAGCTATTGCGCCACTTAATTCAATTCAGTTGAAATGAAATGCTGACCAAATCAAAAATACGGTTAAATTATACAAATTCCACCATTTCTTTTTATTTAGAAAACTACGAAGATGAGAATGATGAAGAGATCTCACATGAGTTGTGGCAAGAAGCGTGCTGGATTGTTATCAACTCGTACTTTGATGAAAAGGGTTTGGTGCGACAACAGCTTGACAGTTTCGATGAATTTATTCAGGTTTGTAGCTTAAACAGAGCTGTTATAGGCACCGTGTGAATACTATTCTTGTAAATGCTGCTCTTTCAAGTCCGGCACTTCAATAATTGTATGGAATATGTGCCGGCACTTATCCTTCTCCGGTGCCATTAATAGCTGAATTTAACGTGGAAACTTATTTTTATCTCCTAATAGATGTCCGTTCAGCGAATTGTCGAAGATTCACCGGCTATCGAATTACAAGCCGAAGCTCAGCATACGTCCGGAGAAGTTGAAACACCGGTAAATTAACAATATCCCCATAATTCGATTTGTTGAAATTTACTTTTATTTCTATTGACATCTACCTTTGTCTCTATGGTTTAGCCGCGATTTGTGTTAAAATTCGATCAAATTTACTTATCAAAACCGACACATTGGGAGAAAGATGGTTCGCCGAGTCCAATGATGCCGAACGAGGCCCGTCTACGAAATCTGACATATTCTGCCCCACTATATGTCGATATAACCAAGACGAAAATTGTCGAAGGTCAAGATGCGGTTGAAACCCAGCATCAAAAGACGTTCATTGGAAAAATTCCAATTATGTTGCGTTCCACATATTGTTTACTGTTTTCATTGACCGATCGTGATTTGACTGAGTTGAACGAATGCCCATTGGACCCGGGCGGTTATTTTATTATCAACGGTTCGGAAAAGGTACTAATTGCACAAGAAAAAATGGCCACAAATACTGTGTATGTGTTTAGCATGAAAGATGGAAAATATGCATTTAAAACGGAAATTCGATCGTGTTTGGAGCACAGTTCACGGCCAACGTCAACACTTTGGGTGAATATGATGGCTCGTGGTGGTCAAAGTTTAAAAAAATCAGCAATCGGTCAACGTATCATCGCCATTTTACCATATATTAAACAAGAAATTCCGATCATGATTGTGTTTCGGGCACTTGGTTTCGTTGCGGATCGTGATATTTTGGAGCATATTATTTATGATTTCGACGATCCCGAAATGATGGAAATGGTAAAACCATCGCTTGACGAAGCATTTGTTGTACAAGAACAAAATGTTGCGTTGAATTTCATTGGTGCCAGAGGTGCAAGGCCTGGCGTTACAAAAGACAAACGTATTAAATATGCCAAAGAAATTCTTCAGAAGGAAATGTTACCGCATGTTGGTGTGTCCGATTTTTGTGAAACGAAAAAAGCATATTTCTTGGGTTACATGGTGCATCGATTGCTGTTGGCAGCATTGGGTCGTCGTGAATTGGACGATCGTGATCACTACGGTAATAAACGTCTTGATTTGGCCGGTCCGTTGTTGGCATTCTTGTTCCGTGGCCTATTCAAAAATCTCATGAAAGAAGTACGAATGTATGCACAGAAATTTATCGATCGTGGAAAAGACTTTAATTTAGAATTGGCCATCAAAACGAAAATCATCACAGACGGTTTACGTTATTCACTTGCCACCGGCAATTGGGGCGATCAGAAAAAAGCGCATCAAGCACGTGCCGGAGTGTCACAGGTGTTGAATCGATTGACATTTGCATCAACGCTATCGCATTTGCGTCGTGTCAATTCACCAATTGGACGTGATGGTAAATTGGCGAAGCCACGTCAATTGCACAACACATTGTGGGGCATGATTTGTCCGGCTGAAACACCAGAAGGTGCCGCTGTCGGTTTGGTCAAGAATTTAGCATTGATGGCATACATTTCCGTTGGATCACAACCGTCACCAATTTTGGAGTTCTTGGAAGAATGGTCGATGGAAAATTTGGAAGAAATTGCACCGTCAGCAATTGCTGATGCAACAAAGATTTTTGTAAATGGATGTTGGGTGGGCATTCATCGTGATCCCGAACAATTGATGGCCACACTACGTAAATTGAGACGACAAATGGATATTATCGTGTCAGAAGTATCAATGGTACGAGACATTCGTGATCGTGAAATTCGAATTTACACGGACGCCGGTCGAATTTGTCGTCCATTGTTGATTGTAGAAAATGGACAATTGTTGCTTAAAAGAAACAACGTTGAATTGCTAAAAGATCGTGATTTTAACAATTACAATTGGCAAGTACTGGTTGCATCCGGTGTAGTCGAATATATTGATACGCTCGAAGAAGAAACGGTTATGATTGCAATGTCACCGGATGATTTGAAGGAAAACAAAGAATATGCATACTGCTCAACGTACACACATTGTGAAATCCATCCGGCCATGATATTGGGCGTGTGCGCCTCAATTATTCCATTTCCCGATCACAATCAGAGTCCGCGTAATACTTATCAAAGTGCTATGGGTAAGCAAAAGTTGCCTTTCTATTATTTAATAATTGTTATTGATTCTTTTCAATTTATTGATATATATACACTTATAAGTTACTGCTTACATATCATTTTCACATTATTTTCCATTCTGTTTCATTACTCATTGATTATCAACTTTCATTTTCATCATATGTTTCCGATTATTTGTCGATTATTTTAAATTAATTCTATTCTTTTCTTTTGTGGTTCTCCCCTAGGTAAGCAAGCTATGGGTGTTTACATTACCAATTTCCACGTGCGGATGGACACTTTGGCTCATGTGTTGTACTATCCGATGAAACCGCTGGTTACGACACGGTCCATGGAATATTTGCGTTTCAGAGAATTGCCAGCTGGCATCAATTCAATTGTTGCTATCTTGTGTTATACTGGTTACAATCAGGTAAGAAAGGATTAATTGGGAAAACAAACCATTGAAAGAGAAAAAGGACCGAAACTAAACTGTTGTCAATTTTTTCTTTTCTGTAAATAACAGGAAGATAGTGTCATCTTGAATGCATCAGCCGTTGAGCGTGGCTTTTTCCGATCGGTATTTTATCGGTCGTACAAAGATTCAGAAAACAAACGAAGTGGCGAGCAAGAAGAACAATTTGAGAAACCCAACCGACAGACGTGTCAAGGAATGCGGAATGCATTGTACGATAAATTGGATGACGACGGTATTATTGCACCAGGTCTTCGTGTTTCTGGTGATGATGTCATCATTGGCAAAACCATTACACTGGCTGAAAATGATGATGAGGTAAGTTTCCATATCTACTGCAAATTCCATTCAACATTGTTGTGGTCTTCTATAACGATTTCTTCTATTTGAATTTTTCAATCTTAACAGCTGGATGGAACGATAAAAAACTTTACAAAACGAGATGCATCGACATTTTTACGTAATTCCGAAACTGGAATTGTGGACCAGGTTATGTTGACGCTAAACAGCGAAGGCTATAAATTCTGTAAGATTCGTGTACGATCGGTGCGTATTCCACAAATTGGCGATAAGTTTGCGTCACGGCACGGACAAAAAGGTACCTGCGGTATTCAGTATCGACACGAGGACATGCCATTCACCTGCGAGGGACTCACTCCAGACATCATAATCAATCCACATGCCATTCCATCTCGGATGACAATTGGCCATTTAATCGAGTGTTTACAAGGCAAATTGGGTTCGAACAAAGGTGAAATCGGTGACGCGACACCATTCAACGATGCGGTCAATGTACAAAAAATTTCAACCTTCCTACAAGAATACGGATACCATTTGCGTGGCAATGAAGTCATGTACAATGGACACACCGGACGAAAAATAAACGCACAAGTGTTTTTGGGACCGACATATTACCAGCGTTTGAAGCATATGGTAGACGATAAAATCCATTCACGAGCCCGTGGACCGGTACAGATTTTGGTGCGTCAACCGATGGAGGGTCGTGCTCGTGATGGTGGTCTACGTTTCGGCGAGATGGAACGTGATTGTCAAATTTCACATGGTGCCGCACAATTTTTGAGAGAACGTCTATTCGAAGTGTCCGATCCATATCGTGTGCATATTTGCAATTATTGTGGTTTGATTGCAATTGCCAACTTGAGAAACAACACATTTGAATGCAAAGGATGCAAAAATAAGACTCAGGTACGTTTAGTTTGTATATGGAATTTTTTAAAAGTTTTTAATTTTGGAATAATTCAATTCAATTTTTTTGTTTTTGCTTTTTTAGATCTCTCAAGTTCGACTTCCGTACGCAGCAAAACTATTGTTCCAGGAATTAATGTCCATGAATATCGCACCACGACTCATGGTTATCTAAATTAAACTTCAGTTGTATTCATTCACATCTAGATATCTTTTCATAGCAACTAAGATGAATAATCGTTTTAAATTCATTTTCTATTGTATAATGAGAATAAAGAAACGATGATTAACAACCCAAGAAAATTTCTTTCAAGTTTCTCAAAACGCCTACTTTGATATCATTTTTTATTTTTGGAGATACGATATGTAATTTCACCAATCCCTTTACCGAAGCCAATTGATCTATAACACTTTGATCCACCCCATCAGGAATATGGAAAAGTTCTTCATGAAAATGCAGTTTCTTATAAAATCATGTTCGTTTTTTTTTTTTCAAAGATGTAAGCAGCGCTCGATCCAATATTAATAATCGAAGTAATATTCTACGTTAGTTTTAAGATGCAATCAAATTTTCACAGACTTTTCATACAAAAATTCACAAAAAAAATTATTTTTCTATGGGAGCCATGCCTTTGTGGTAGCGTAATGACATGAAACTTTGCACAGGTTTAAAGAAATTTCAATGCATATTAGGGATACCTCCCATACAAAATTTTCGGTTATGAGCCAAACATCGAAAATTTTGTATGGGGGTAACTATATTTTTGATTGAAATTTCTTTAAACTTTGTGAGATTATTTATATTAATAAGAAAATAATATTCACAAGTTTTCACGGCGATTTAAGTTACTGCAACCAAACATAGACCATATTTTCAAATTATTCCCAAAATTTCGGTTCCATGCGGAAAATTTACTGTTTACTCGTTTACCCAAGTCCCATTTGGACTTTTTAAAAGTATATTTCAGATCAGATTTGAGATTAATCTAGATTTATCTCGATCTGAGATAAATATAAAAACTTAGATACACTGACATCAAAAATCCAAGATTTTGATCTCAAATCTGATCTAGATAAAAAAAATTGAACTAAAAAAAACACTATAGATATGTGTCAGACCGGGAACTTTTCAGCCGATGTGTTATTCATTGCCATTGTTCGCAATTGTGCTTGGTCTAAGCTCAGTGCTGCCGAATAGTTTTGTGTACCTCAGTGAAGTTGATACCACCATAATTCAGAACTTTATGTATTATGGTGATCGAAATTTCATTGGCCATCGGCTATCTGGCTACAAAGCGCCAAAAGTGATTTTAACAAAAGAAGCCGCATTAAGATTGAAGGACATTCAAGCCGACATCAAAAAAGATAATTTCCCATTGGTAATTTATGATGGTTATCGCCGGTCCAATGTCCTGGGCAAATTCAACTTTAATCGAGGATGTCTTTCAACCAAAATGATGGCATTCGATTTTTACCCATTTGACTCTGAATGGTGGCATTTTACATTAACAGATGAACCATTCGAAAATACATTCTTTGATTTTGATATCGAATAAAGAGATACCGTGTATGCAATTCATGGTTCGATTTAACCAATTGAATTTTAGATAAATAATATAAAATATTGAATAAACCATGTAAATCAAAGGAAGTGTTTGTTAATTCTGTTTAAATTGTCATTTTATTCAAAAATCAAGTAGATCGTAAGATGACATTAAAATTAAATCTTTATCTGTTTACATGGATTGGATTACTGATCATCAAATGTTTTATTTTTACTTTTCCGCACACCCACTGTTTGCAGTAAAGTATTGCAATCACCCCAAAATTTTGAAATCGCTAAAAATCATTTTTCTATGCGTTTTGGGTGTAGAGAAGCACAGAGCAACGGTTTTTTGGCCATGTCAATGTATGAGCGTGGTACCCTGTACGCTGTACGCTGTACGCAAAAATAACATTCTGAGAGTTTGAAGACATTTCAATGCATATTAGGGGTACCTTCCGAACAAAATTTTGGATTTTTCGCTCAAAAACGAAATGTTGTAGGAGAAGTGCGCCAAAGAATGAGAACATGCATGCAACGCCCTCACTGAAATACGTTTGATTTACTTTGTAAATGGAGGCGGTGGGAGATCGAACTAACCAAATTACACTAACAAAATCTACAAATAGGCTCAGCCCTCGCCTAATAGGCATTGAAATTTCTTCAAATTTGCTAAGATTATGTAGTTTGACAAGAAAATGAGATTTACAAGTTTAAATGGTGATTAGGTCAATGCAAACATACAATAATTGCATTTTTTTTATTCGAATTAGTTCGGATTTCTCTCCAAAGTGAATGTTGGCAATTAAGTTACTGTGCATTGATGTAAATTGCGCTCAATTAATGTGTCACTCAAAAGAAATATTTCAAATTATTATATAGAATGAATATTTTGACTTCCAAACATATTTTGGAAATTTCAGTCTCTTTTAAATACAGTCAAAGTGAAATGCAAATGTCATTGACAATTGTTTGCTAAATGATCTCGACCAAATGATTGTGAATAATTTATTCCGGATTAATTCCATTATTTTACAATCAAAAGTATATTTTATTTATACGTCAATAATTTATGAATTGGCCAAAAAACTTGACTGCTCTTAGGCTTTAGAATTCGGTAGTTATTGAATTAGTACTGCCCTACCAGTTCGGTTCCTTTTTATTTAAATGTGAGATCAATGTCTCCATAATAGGTATCCTTAAATGATAAATCCCTTAGTAGTTAGATGCTTTTCTTACATCGACTGCGACACTAAACTTACCCGAGTTTAGTTCTTTATAAAACTCAGTAACCTTTTCGTACCTCAGTAACCATTGACATAATGCTTATCAGACGTTGATTGATTGAGTTACGATATGCATTGACTTGGTACCAATTTCCCTATGCGGAATATATATTTAAAAAAATGTGTTAAAATAAATTACTGACTGCCATCAAACATTTACATAATTTTTGAAAGAAACATAGTAAATTAGGAAAAAAGTTATAATAAATTTTCTTTAAAACGAAAATCACTCATCAAACTTACCGTCATCATACTGAAAATGGTGTAAATAATTTTTTTTGTTGTATAAATTATCGGATTTAAAAATGACGTTATAATTAAAACAAAGCAAACAATGTTATTAATTTGAAATACATTTTTTTCGAATTCCAACATCTTTTTATTAGATTATATGTCTTATAAATTGGAACAAAGTAATATTGTAAAATTATTGCAAAAACAAATCGAACCGTATAATAAAAATCAAATATATTAATTGAAAAAATTGTGAGTTCTTCTTTATTGTTTTAATCAAAAATAAAATGTTCTGCCGAATTTACCGATATACGTTTCGGTCCAAGAAGAAGTTTTTTCGATCTTCAGCCATTTACTCGTGTTATTCGCCTCCAAAACATTTGCTGGCAATTTCATTCCTTCACAATATATTCGAACCTCCAAACGGCCTTCCACTAAAGCCAAGAGCGAATTGTATTCTTCCAAATTCATTATAATGTTACCCACATAGACGCGCAATCGTTTTAAATTTGTTTCACATTCCAAAATACCTCTTATATCGGGAATCGTTAATGCCGGCCGCCTAAACCACCTTCTAATTCTGATTTCTTCAAGATTCGGTGAGTTTAAAATGATATCGATCGGATCATGGTTCAAATCGACTTCAATGCTCAATTTTCGCAAATATTTCAATTTTCCTAATTGTGTTGTATCATTTATACGATATCCAAAAAGCGTTAATTCTTCAATGCGAACATCATTTGCAGCCAGTGCATCAAGCAAGCGATCATAATTCAGGAAAGAACTATGAGGTGGAAATTCTAGACGCAAATGTTGCAGTTTTCGCAGTCTACTCAATGGTACAAGTCTATCAGAAGGTAAATTTCCAGAAAAAAGAAAAGATAAATTATCCAAATGTGGCAACAAAATTGAAATGTCATCGATAATGTCTTCCGGTGCGGGATTTATGCTCATATTTATTAATCGTAATTTTAGCCTTGTGAGTTGCGGATTGAGTTGTAGAAACTTCAAAAGATTCGGTCTACCGATATTATTCTCTAACATACCACAGAAATCAAATTCTTTCAACATTGTAAAATGTCGTTCGAATGCATTTCCATCACATTCATCTAAATTTAAAGCAACCAATTGGGAATGTATGGGCTCAAAATTTGGAACGTTGAAACCTCTAACACTCAGTTTTTTAAGAGCTTGAAATGGTGATCGAGTGTTCAAATTCAACTCTTCTTTTACCATTAGCGGCTCGTTGAGCGTAACTTTCAATTCAGTCAATGATTTGCCAAATGCATCCGCAATCAGGTTCAAATTCTGATTGATACGAGGATATGTTCTTGTAAACACCCAATTTATTGTTTGTACTGGAACAACATCAAGATCAAGAAATTTTCGCACTTGCTCTATGGTTAAATCATTTGGACCTTGCGTCTGTTTATCTTCTCGAATATGCAATGCTACCAATTTCGACGATAAACCGGCCTTGGCATTCTGTTTAAATCGCGTACATGTGTCAATCGCATTTAGATAATCATGAACACTATTTAACTTTCGTAATATTGTTTGAATGCAATCATCATTGAGTGCATTTAAAATGTTCTGCGGTGATTCTTGTCCGAATGGAATTTGCATGTCGTAAAGCAGACGTTCGGGCAAACGATATCCTTTGATCAAATTGATAATTTCGGTGATGTATTCATCATGGAAATTAACTTCCTTGAAATAAAATAATTGAAGAAATTCTTCAAACACTCCGGGTGATGTGTGCGGCAATTCAACTTCCACTTTGTCTTTTTCAGTTGATTCTCCATAGAACATTTCGTTGAATACGTTGCTTAACGTCGACAGAATCAATTTATGCGCTGGAACGCGGTCTTTTTGATCACCACACACAAAGTACACATCGACCTTTGCTGGATTCAGGTATAAGTTCTGCATAGCTTGCGACGCAAAATCACTTTTTCTTACTAACAATTCAGCAGAATTGTCATTATTCTCTATGCGACGACGCTTTGCTGGTTGAGCTGTAGATGAAGACATTATGAACGAGAGAAGATATTGATTAAATTTGAAACAAAAAAATCACCAACAAATTTTTGACTAAATGGTTTTTCACGAGATTTATCAGATGTTTTCAGCTTGAATGCACGTTTAAAACTGAGAACATCAAGCAAAGGCCAGCAAAGTCATTAGTAAATCAGACGCCATGTTTGCCGTCATAATGACTCAAGTGCACATCTGGTACGCATAAGCAATATAACATCGGGCATACCTGAGCTGTACGTTTCAGTTGTTTTAAGTCGAAAATAATTTAAATCAACTTAAAGTGACTGAAGTCGACTGGATTAAATTCATTTTTTCCAATCGACCTAAAACGACTACAAGTCGAAAAAAAAATTCTTTGTCTTCTAGTTTTGTTAAAATATAAATACCTCTACTCAAATATTAAAATCATTAAACGTTTCTCTCCCTGTGTAGTATACAATTAAGACGTAAAAATAAATTTATTCTATTAATAATGAGAGATAATACTTCGAACTATATGAAGAAAAAAAATTCCGAGCCCAGCAAGTGAGGATTTATTATCTGAAAACATTGTCTGAAGTTAGTGAATGAATGAAATGTGTTTCTATTGAAAAGATTTGTTATGTTAAATGTCCAATAAAAATAATTGACACATTCTCAATAAAAATTACCCTAAAAATTCTATTCAATTTTTGAAATTTCTGGTGTTTTTAATATATTTGTTTGCCAAATTTTGTAGATTACATGCGAAAAAATATCTAATTTACATGGTAGTAGTCTACAAATACAAAATGTTCGAAATGATAGCTATTTCTCTATGTTTATTATGTGTTACAAACTAAAATTAATCATTTATTTGGCTGAGCCGATTTGGCTATAAAGCTATACGGTAGACGCGGGTCATTTTTATGTCGTTCAATTTCGTGGTTGTGTTGTTGTTACTATTCATCTTGGATTGCATATTTTATTTTGCGACATTATTAGGCGATATAAACGAGCTACGATTTCGTTCTTCCAATTTTATCTTCCATCTCTCTCTTCAATACGAAATCAGTTCAATTCATAATTTTTTCAGTGATTTAGAAGATTTAAAAGAAAAATGTTTTTTTTTTTAATGTAAGCAGCTCTTGATCCAAGAGAATATTATTTTTATCATCACCCGTTTTTCAATCACGAGGTCATTATTGTTTATTCTTCGCTCAAATATCAATTGTTTTGATTTTCTATTGTACATTATCGCAAAAGTTCAGAGTACTCAGTACAAACTATAGATATGGCCTATACCGTTAGTTGAAATCAAAAATTGACGTATGACCATTCATTAATAAGAACATACTTGAAACTGTTATAAAAACAACAATTTTCAATATGTTTTTGTACTCTGAATTTATTTGGAGAATGAGAAACATGTTCGATTTAAAAACAGTAATAATAATCGTTTGAGGTATTTCAAAAGGGGAGCATTGACAAGTGAGAATAGAGAGCGAGCGAGAGAGAAAGACGATGTTGGTACTTGATGCGTTTGTTATCACCACTTCTGAATGGCTGCATTCTTGTCAAAGCCCCTCCAGAAAACAGTACTCGAATTAAGCACCCCCTTGTTGTAAATCATACATACATACATCGGGCGACACACACACACACACACAAAAACACACATTATCCATGATGTCCACACGCATACACGCTACTTGAACTTTAATAAACTATACTCTGCGAGACAAACACACAGCGCGCGCGAGTGATTCTGTGCATCCCCCTTTTCACACGTACACACCATAATCATCATCATATATATATACATAAAAATGAGATGGGAAAAAATCCACGGCTACAATAATAAACTTTCGAATGAATCAATTTTGTGTAGTAAATTTGTAGATTGTAGACATGTTGAGAATCAGTGTCAAAAGCATCTCCACCATTATTGCCACAAATACCAGTATCATCTGTGCATTGTTCACAACGCCGTAAGATAATTTTCTTTTTCGTGCGTGTGTACTCTGCTCCGATTTTTTCGTTTCGTTTTTTTCTCGATTTCCTTATTCGACCATTTTTTACTTTTTTTCTGCTTGAAAAATTATCCAAAGTTAAAAGTATTGGTTAATATGTGATATTCAAAATATGTAAGTAAATTGCAAAAAAAAAAAAAAAACATATTAGAAGAATATATATGTGTATCAAATCTGAAAACTGTTTTGGTGTTTACCCATTGGGATCAAAACCCTTTCGGTCCATTTTTTTTTCATCGCAAAGTGTTGATTCTAACCAGAATTATCTTTTTCTTTTCAAGCCAAACGATGTGATTTATTTATCATTCTCACTTTAAGGCAATAGAGAACAAGACAATTATCAGCGATTGAAAGTGCATCAAATATCGGAATTTTTTGCACCCTCGCCGGATGAAATTCGTAAGTGTTATTCATTGTAAAAAGAAACCATAAAGAAAAACTAGAAATATTTTTAAACAACAAAATTGTATTAAAAAGTTACCAAATAACAAAAAGAAAGTATTTAAAAGCTAACTTGTTCAACAGTTGTACGAAAAGAAAATAAGAACCAAAAAATATCTTTTTTTTCCTCACCTTTCATTACAGAAAGCAATTCTTTTGCGCAAATGAAGATGGTCATTTGCGAATTATTTGTTTTCATGTGATTTATCCATATCGTTTAAAATGTAAGCGAATTCGCTGTCACAGTTTTATCATATATTCAAAATCAAAAACGACGTGAAAAACCATGGGATGGAATTTTGTATCGGCGATAATGAATATCGCATCACTCGGTTTCTGGCCGTTCATATGGCGAAAAAACTTTTTTATCATTTGGATTAGTGTCGTACTTTTCACCAGCGACATTTATCAAATCAATGGAGAACCCAATAAAAGTTGTAAGTAGACATATTTATCGCCATTAACGTTTGTAAATTGTTTTTTGCTGCTGTGCCGTACCTTTTTGCTTTTCTTTCTTTTCAAACATTCTTCAACTTTTCAACAAGTTTGTTATCACACCGGTTTCACACTTTGCACAAAACTTTATGTGTTACTTGTTTTTTTTTTGTCTTCACATTCTCTTGAGAGCCTCATTTACATTCTTTGAGAATAATTTGATTTTTCAGTTTTGTTGAGATAGATAATACAAATATTGCGGTACATACACTGCAGTGATAAATTTACAATATTTGTCGGTGTATCATGTTTTTTTCTCTCTCTCTCCACAGTTTCGATGAAAACTTTGTGTAAAACGCATTTTTTACAAATGATTTACCGAAAAACAGACGGCGCTATTTTGTGGTCACAAAACGAACGGAATTTAGACTGTGCGTTAACCTTTCAAACGCATTCCATTTTGCAAAGATTTTTGGTACGATTCGATGCCCTGCAATTAGACTGTAACGATCATCTTTTTATATACGATGGAGCTCATGCGAGTTCAACGCCAAAAGTAAATTAATATTTTCATTCGAAATTCGGTTAAATTTCGATAAAAAGTTATTCACAGATTAATTGACTTTATTTATGTTGATAGATGGACATATCATGTCGAAATACAAAGCAATCAGTTGGAAATATAATTACGCAAAGCAACTTTTTGACGATTAAGTACAAGACCGATGGCTGGGGAACGGATTCGAATGGATTTAAATTGGTTTTGACAGCAATAAAAAATATAAGTAAGCCATAAGTTTTTTTTTTAAATGTAGAAGTGGTTGGTTCTAAAAGTTAACACTTCAATTCCAGATCATGCTTGCAAACAATTCAGATGCAAATCGACCGAATTCTGCATATCATCCGATTTGGTGTGTGACAAGATAAATCATTGTGCGGACGGAACTGATGAAGCTCCACACTCACTTTGTCCGAGTAAGTTTGAGGTTGACAAAATTTAACAATATTCGCCAGCAAATACGAGTGTCTCATTCACACTCATGCACCCCATACTAAATCATGTTCAATATTTATTCGCAGATCTGGAAACGAAGACAATATTTGGCCTGGAAATGACTTGGCTTGTGCTGTTGGCAGTGAGTGGTTTTTTAGTGTTGAGTGCATGTTTTGTTGGCATCGCAATTTGGTTCTGTCGACTGCGTACATCCGCTTCGGATAATAACAATTTACAATGTTAGTATTAAACCAAATCCAAACTTCAAACTACGTCCCGTTTCAAAAAAAAAAAAAATCACAAATACATCGAATAATAAAATGTGTGAATATCTTTTCATTAAATCAGTAAACAATCACCATTGCAACACAAATGGATCAAGTAAAACGACAATAAATCGAACGACTAGTGATACAATGATGTTTTCCATGTCGGGAAACATGCAACACCCTGCGAGGATACCGGCGTATTCACTGCAAATCATCATTTACGTTTCAAAAATGCTGATGATGGTGACAATCCGTCCGTTGACTATTTGGCGTATGATAATCAACTAAATGCACAACGTCAATTGCCCGATTTGTCACTCGGCCTAATCGATGGCCCGGCAACAGCTGCACAAAAAGAAGAATGGTTCGTTTAAATTCACAAACAAACATAAACGACAATTCATCGACGGCGCTGTATCTGTGGCATCGCAATCATTTAGTTGGCAGCAAAATTTCATCGACAAAAAAAATAATTATTTTTATTGAAACAGATTTCTCGCAGGGTGTAATCGAAACGCTCAATTTAAAAGAATTAAATTTAAGGAAAACAAACTTATATTATAAATATCATTCATTTACATACACACTAGTCAATTTGATATAATATGGAATGAAACAGATGGAAATTATCTGAGTGGCCCCAATGAAGTTTATATATATTCAACACTGGATTGTGAAATATGTGAATTTTTCGGGCGGCGCTCAGTGGTTCCACTGATCAATGCCATCGAAATGCAACAATAATTATTCGAAACAAGTAACAAAAACATATTTAGAAAATTTGTAGTTAAATTTTGAAACAAACACTGGAACAAACGACTATAATTCAACATATATATACTTACATTTATAAATTGGTTAGGCTTTGCTGCATAACACATACAATTTTCGAACTTTACTCGATTTGTAATCAGTTTTTTCTTGCTGCCGGGCAGCACATTTTAACATTTCATATATGTACACTCTATATAGTGAATATATGGTTATTTTTCTGAACTCATTCTCAATTTTAACACAACTCGTACTTTTTTTCTATATAAAAAAAAATAATTATCAAATGTTGAAAAAAATGGATATAATCACCAGGGCTGTTATTTTCACTCTGTCAGTGCACGCACACAGAAGTGTGCACACTCACACTCAATGTGCGTCGCACACAGTGCTTGTATTTTGAATGTGCACGCACACTTAGTTACAAATTTGCCAACCACCAAAAATGTCAAACTTGTGACTAAGTGTGCGCGCACATGCAAAATACAAGCATTGTGTGCGACGCACATAGAATGTGAGTGTGCACACTACTGTGTGCGTGCACTGACAGAGTGAAAATTACAGCCCTGATAATCACATAGAAAATGCTTGTATATGGTTGGTCCGTATCAAGCAAAACCATCAAATTCATAATCATTCTGACATGGAAATAATATTACTTAGAACCAAATAAATTATCAAACCATTCAAAAATACACATGAAGTTTTATTTTCTGAAAAAATATCGCCAAATGCTGGAATTTCAAAAAAAAAAAAAAAATAATGAAGATAACACGTCACTGCTTCGATACTTCGAAATTCATTTTTATTATCATTTTCTTTATTTTGTACACCGAACGAATTGTTGGAACCGGAAAAATGACTAATTACGTGTTTTTTTTATGTTGCCAATGTAATGGTTTTGGTTATGAGAGGTCAAAATCTTTATAATTCAGATGATGATCTAAATAATTATTATTGGAATCCACTCAATCCAGAGATCTATCTAATGCGCTCAAATTGGTTTTTTATGAGGTCTTCAAGATGAGTTACAATTGTTATTTATCAATATTTTTTTTTTGCTGTTAAGATTATATAACTTAAGCTATTTGAAAATGTGAAGAAGTCTTCTTGCGATTATATTGTGTGAGTGGACATTGTGCATTTAATCGTCACTTTTATCGTCTGAACGGCTTCTTGACCGTGACATTGAGCGTTTTGGCGGTGATTTCGAATCACCAGCACTTTCTGAACGAGCACGACGACGATTCTTAGTCACTGGTGCTCTTCCATTTCGTTGTGGTGTACGGGCTGTTAAAATAAACAAACGTATTATTATTTTTTCGATTGTTTGAATTCGTTGAAAAACGCGGTTACTTACAGCGAGAACGAGATACCGAATTGGAACGTGAGCGACGATCACGTGGGCTTCCATTTCGCACACTTCGTGCTGGAAAAGAGGCAGAGAAAAGAAAAAAAAATTATTACGGTTTTTGAATGCGGCAAGATTCAAATGAATGCCAGTACATATTATTGAGGCCGGTTAGTATTTTCTTGAGGTTGGTCAGAAAAATCGATATACTTACAGCGTGATCGAGATCCACTGGCCGATCGAGAACGACGTTCGCGTGGACTGCGACTGCGAGCACTCCGAGAGCGTGATCTACAATAAAAGACAATATGAATTAGTATTGATTACAAATAAACTCCATTCCGATTGTTTCGTATATTGTCCTGGTTCGTGTTAAAGGACGAATGTTTATTTTTAATTTCTAAATATAATTCTAAAAAAACCTCTACCGCTATTAATTCTTTTTTTTTTTTTTCAAAAACGATCACTAAAATGGAATAAAATTGAAGTGAACGGAAAACTAAAAATCAAGATTAGGTACAATCACAAAGAGGAATAAAAAAAATAAATAAAAAATCAAGTTAAAGCGAATTATTCATTTTGAAAACCGAAAATTGTATGTCTCGTGTTCGAATGGTTGCAATAAATATGGTATATGAACTAGATATAGATATATATAAAAAGAACAAAATGATTGGTTTGTTTTTTTTTTTTTTTTTTTGATTTGGGTTATTTAAATAGTATAGTAAACTCACTGGTTGTTCATTGATTCAAATGAATTTGTGTTCATATCAATGATTGAAACATTCTACATTGTGGGTGTGTAAATGGTAAATTTTTTCTAAAGCAAACCAAACCGCTGCACTGCGAAGAACACAACACGTCTCTACGAACTCTCGTGGTGATTTGTTAAATCGGATATGCGCAAACTGACTAAGAGCTAATCAATTCGAATTTTGTGTTTGTTTGTGTGTGAGTCTGTGTCTCTGTGTGTGTAAAACAAGATGAACGGGGTGCATGCGTGCGCGGGCGCGTGTGTGTGTCAATTATGAAGATACCGCTGATGTAGATTGAAGATCAGAACAAAGCTGATGTGGATCAACTAAGATTTTGATCGAGATGTGTACAAATTTGATAATTGCCTTGTTGCAGTCGATTAAAGCAGATAAACGATAACGTTGCATGTGATGTGTCACACACGCACAACACACAACACACACACCCAGCTCAGCCATACACACATGCTACATCCAGTCTTCGAAATGCTGAGGCGGAAAGTTTTTTTTTTTGGTGGCGGATCGAAAAGCGTCATTCAAACAAAAAATTGATTGACAAAGTTGTTGGGTGTGCTTGTGTATGCAAATTCGTTGACTGAAAACCACGGAAGCGAAGCAACAGATGAATAGCAGCCTCAAACGTTGTATGTGTGTGTGTGTGTGTGTGTTAATTTGCATTTGGTATTGATTGCGTTGAAAATGTTTAAAGCCAATCGATGAACATAAAACACACGATGAATGAATGAAGAAGAAGCGACGCTGGTCTACGCTGAATCGATGCAAACGGACTTGTTAATTTTTTTGCTTGATTTTCTTGCTTGCTAGTCTGTGTGTTTCTGTGTTATTTGCTATTGCTATTTAATAGATGCCAATCAAAATTTGAAACGAATTTTGTGTGTGAGCGCAAAACATTTCGCGATGAATTTCTAGTCATTGGGGGGCACATATGAGGGAGAAATAAAAGGTCGTTACAGCTCGATTTATTTAATTTGTTTTTTTTTTCTGTGTGTAGTGTGTGCGTGCTGTGTTGAAAAGTGCCGCTGCGCACACGATGCCAACTTTGGATGCTAGAAGATGACATGGTAACTGAATGCACATTTTTATTTTTGTTTGTTTTGGGGTGAAGACGACACATTCGATGGCCTTCAACTCTACAAACGAGATGCGATGACTCAAGGATATTTGCTTTGTTTTTATCTGCCTCGACCCTTTCATAGACTCAATCGCTTCGCTGTACGTAAACGTTTTAATTTTTGACGTGTGTCTGTCTGTCTCTGTGTGTGCGTGAAATTCTCTCTTGCCCGCGAGAATCGCAACTACGAGCGAAAGTAGCTATGGTTCATTTTGGTTATCATTGAACTGAGGAAGCAATTTGTTAAGACAGGTGTTTCAGTTGAATCTGACCTACAACATGCATTCATATTCGATTATTATTATAGTTTGTTTTTGATTTGATTTTTTTTTGTTTATGATATCAAAAAATTTATAAAAAAAAATTGAATGAAATTCGCAATCGGTTTAGCTCGCTTGAATTGAATAAAAAAATAACAATTGAAACTTAAATTAATATCTAAACATTTACTGTTGCTGCTTGCACACATTTGCACATCTCGATGTGAATACGGTCTTCATTGGACCATTTTCCTTACGCTGATGACGATCCACAGTTGCATCAAAGACGATAAAATTATATAAAAAGTCACTTACCGACGACGGCTTTTGCCATGGCGCCGACAATCTCTAGCATAATGTCCACGATCTCCGCACTCATAACAGCGATCATCTGGAATTTTATAGAAAAAAAAACAAACAGGAAAAATACAAAAACATGCATACTCTGAGTTTGAAGAAAGTGTTTATCGAAAGAAACTGAAAACATTTGCACGATTAATTCAAAAAAGTAGAGTTTTCTTAAAGATATGTAACATTCAGCAAATTTTGAAATTAAAACTTTTAGTCGTTGCCGTTTAAAAATTTTCCAAGAAAAAAAAATTCGGTAATTTAATGGAGAAAAATGAAGAAAACACAGGTGCTGAAACAAAATGGAATAAACAAAAAACCGTATAAAAATCCCGAAAATTGTTACAAAAATTCCCCAAAAATGTCATGACGATTCTTGGGCTAACCAAAAATATGTTTCAGTTAATTAATAAATAATAAGTTATCAAGAATAATAATTCATTTAAAAATAGTTCGAGTTTGTCTAGTTTGTGGGAATTTTTTTTCCTATTCTGACCTTCGGCCGTCGAACTTTGAAATATTAAAACAAAAAGAGTCCCAATAAAGGATGTTGTTCCATATCATTTAATGTTTACAATAACAACAACAACAACAAAAACCCGTTGAAGTGTAAACAAACTAATTTTTTTTTTCAATAAATTATTAAGAAGACTCCTGTGCTGTCAATATAACAAAGGCTGTACATCAAAAATGAACAACCAATACTTTTTCTTTCATAAACCAAAAAAAAACTGAATTCAATAAAAAACTAAATTTTTCAACTTACCTTGATGGTATGGACGTCGTGATTTTGAGCCCCGATATCCACGTCCAGATTTACCACTTGATACCTCAACACGAGCTCGACGACCACAAATAATGCGTCCATCTAAACCACGTACAGCATCCTCAGCATCGCGTGCCGATTCAAATTCAACAAACGCGAATCCCGGTGGATTTCGTGCAATCTAATAAATTTTAAATTCATATAAATTTAGTTAAATTCTTTATCGAAATAAAAACTATTGGTAAATATCATTACCCAAACGCTACGCAATGGTCCATAATATGAAAATGAATCTTCCAATTCATTTTTGCGTGCATGATTTCCCAAATCACCGACATAAACTTTTGTGTCGCACGGATATCTTGACATACGCTTGCTCTGTGTATAATTCCATGAAAATTGAAGTGAAAAAAAAAAAACGTGTAGAAGAAAATTCAATTAACCATCGATGGCATTGAAATAAAATCGTCTTGAAATGTTGCAGAAAAATTGTATTTTATTCGGGTAAATTGGATGTATAGGTCAAAATGGAATATTTTTTTATGAGGAAAATCAATAAAAAAAATAGCAAATAGCGCTTACCATTTTTCAGCGAGACAGGGCGTCAAACTGTGTGTTTGCAATTAAAAGTAAATCGCACAAAAACAACTGGTGACACAATGAGTATATTTCGTTAAGTCTCTCTGTTTGTCTGTGCAGACAAAGAAGAGCAACGACGAAAATGGCGTAAAATTGCAATTGAAATGAATATTTTTGAAATTATCTTCCACTTCGTTATTGTTATATATATATATTTTTTTTTGTCTTCTCTTGCCTCTATATAAGCGGCGAATAATAACTGACTACTATTCTAGGTACTAAATGTATCAAGCTATGCGCATAACGAAGAGTTGTCAAAAGATGATGAGGAAATACACACTCACAGTGAAGAGAGTGAACGAAACGCAAACGAAAAAGGGAGAAAAAGAGACACGGCAAACAAACAATTCTATTGAAATGAGTTGCTCTTTGAATCAACGCATGAACTAATCGTCTATATGCTATGGAAAAAATACCTAAGCTGTATATGGCAAAAAATGTATGTACATATGCAAAAGATAAAAGCCGAAAGAATTCTGGAAAAAAAGAGGTTGTAAATTGTTTTTGTATGATGGGTCATCAGCAAACAAATTTAGCCGGATTCACAGAAGGGCAAAGTGAAAAAAAACATAAGTCAAATACTTACAAATACACTCATAAAAGTATTTATGACCGAATGCATTGTGCGTGTGTATGTACGACGCGCCGAACCATAATCATGTATTTAATAGTTTTTTCTTGGAATTAAATTCTCCGGTTCGTTGAAGAACAGAGAAAGCAAGCAAAGCAATTGGATAGAGTAAGAGAAGTACAGAAAAGACCCGCCAATCTACTAATGTGTCGCAGCGTCACTTTTGACAGACGGATTTACGAAAAAACCGCATCGTTTGCGTTCACCGAGTTCTTTTTTTCCCCACTCAAATTCGAATCGGTTTGAAAGTGTTGCGAAAACAATGGTCGGTTCACAGTTCGCATAGGTTTTGGTTAACACGGAATTTTCCATTCGAATTCAATATCAAACATGCGTTACATTCACACAAAGTCATGAAAAATTGTTGTGGAAAAAAATTTTAAATCGAAAAAAAAATCCATCGCATTAATAATATGGGAATTTTTGAAATGAGAAAAACAAATAATGCATTTAATTAAATTAATGCATTTTTTGTGTGTAAATAATTTGTATGGTTTCGTGTACGAAAAATGGCAATGGTATATGTGAACCAAGCGTAAAGCATCACAAGCCACGAGTGCCAATTTAAAGTGCGTTGCCAGTTGCGGTTGATTTTCGAAATACGTCTACGCTCGTCCATTTTTTTTCAACCGGTTTGAGCCATATAATACCGAAACGACAACGACGACGACGACGAAATAAAAAGCTTAAAGTGCAATGGCCGCCGTGATGGTATGAGCTCTCATTTCGGTTTGTCATGGTTAAGTTAGGTTATATTGAACAGCACATTATTTTTAAGTTTATATTTTTAAGAAGGATATAAAACTAAATTTTTAGCTTAAAAATAACGTTAAACAATAAGTAAGTGTGCTCTGCAATAATCTAATTTGCTAATAGTTTGTAGCGAATAAAATTTACAAGTTAAAAGTTGAAGAAAAAAAAATATTGCTTCATTTTCAATATCGCTACGACACACGAAAGAAGAATAGTAGAAAAAACGCAAAGGAAAAGCAAAGAAGAGAAAGACCGAAGAGAAGGAAGGAAAAAAATAGACGACGACAACGAGTGAAGAGAAATATCGTGTGCGTGTGACTTTTTTTTATACGAATATTACACTCCGCATACCTTTATACAAGCCCGAACACACCACATATATTTAACAAAAAAAAAAAAAAAAAAGAAAAGAAGAAGCAAGTACATCTCACATCGCGCGTACATACATATTTGAGAGAAGCAGTTGTGAAAAATATTGAGAGAATTTTTTCGAACGTGAACAACAATATACCAACCAAAATGGAGGAAGATGAAAGAGGTAAATTATTTGTCGGTGGTTTGTCATGGGAAACAACCCAAGAAAATCTTCAACGGTATTTTGCACGTTATGGTGAAATAATCGACTGCGTAGTTATGAAAAATAATGACACGGGTCGTTCGCGTGGTTTTGGCTTCGTTACATTCTCCGACCCGAACAACGTTGGAATTGTATTGAAAAATGGGCCGCATACATTGGACGGTCGTACAATTGATCCGAAACCATGCAATCCGCGTACATTGCAAAAACCGAAAAAAGGTGGCGGCTATAAAATCTTCTTGGGTGGACTACCATCCAATGTCACCGAAACCGATCTACGCACATTCTTTGGACGATATGGCAAGGTGACCGAAGTTGTCATCATGTACGACCAAGAAAAGAAAAAATCGCGTGGTTTTGGTTTTCTTTCATTTGAAGATGAAGGATCGGTCGAATGCGTCACCAACGAACGCTACATCAACTTGAATGGAAAGCAGGTTGAAATCAAGAAGGCCGAACCACGCGATGGCGGTGGATACAGCAAAATGAACGCTGATCCAAACCAATGGAATCATCATCAAGGAGCACCGTTAGGTGAGTGATTTTTTTTTACTTATTTTTTCTTCTGTTTTTTGTGATTTTTTTTCGTTCCTTTCTTTTTCTTTCGTTCGTACATATGGTATAAGTTTCTTTCGTTGCTTTAACTCGCACATTCGATTTTAGTGCGTCATTCATTCACCAGTATATTTGCCAATTATTTGAACGAACAAACAAACGATAAAAAAAATAATATGAAAAAATTTATGTTTTATTCATGAAAATTTATTTCGCATTACATTTTTGACGAATTTCAATTATTTGTTTCACTTTCGACTGAATTTTATGTGATTTTTTTGCAATTTTCCCCGACACATTGATGTACCATATTGCAAAAATGTGTATCTAGTATAATGGCACAATACATAGCGCATATTGTTTTCAATATATCAAATGTATCACAATGTATGTGTACATGTATGCATGCATGTATATGTTATTCATTTTTATTTATTTCGATTGCGTTTCCACGAAGCGAGAAAGATGAAAAATGTGTTGTGTTGTGTGTTTATTTTTGGAACAATGGCAACAATTTCGATTTAAAAGCACTTTTATGGATTTTTTATTCATTCATTATTATTATTTTATTTTGCAACGAATTATTCAATCCAAGTGTTCAAAACATGATTGATGTTGTCAAAATGGTTCATTTTTGATAATTTTTATGTTTCCATGAAATTGAAAAAATAAAAAAACTAAAACCAAAAAAATTCATGCCATTAAAGGAATGATGCAAGGACCGAATGGCCAGATGAATGGGCCTCAAATGAATATGCCGATGGGCGCACCAAACATGATGCCCGGCTATCAAAACTGGGCCACGTCTCCACAACAACAAGGCTATGGTTATGGTAATTCAAGTGCACCAAACTCGTACCAAGGATGGGGAGCCCCACCACAAGGTCCACCACCTCAATGGTCCAACTACAATCCACAACAAACAGGTAAGACACACTGCATCATTTTTTTTTAGTTTAAGCACTAGTATATCATCACTCATCATCCACCCAGTTCTGCCCATCGTCACAAAAGGTTCATTTTCTCTGGACACATCGAACGGCAGCACATCGAACTCAATATATTCAGTGGAGGAGCTTGCTGTTAAGTTTGATTTGAGTTCTTCGCAAACAAATTTGCTCAAAGAACTACAAAATGAGGACGATCCACTTGTAATTCTAAATTATAAAGACGCCTTCAGGCAACTCCCAGGATATTTTGAATTCAATAAAATTCATATTCACCAAAACTTGTTGTTAAACGGTGCTGTACATATAAAAGAGGATGTGTACCATTTTCCAAGTTGGCCATTACTCTTGAGAGCAAAAGCAACAATGCAAATGCAAATTCCTTGGGCATTTTATTCGTTCAACCCTTTGGTTCAAACAATCAGTCGGATGGTCACAATTCAAACCACAATATATACCAATTATTCACCGACTAAATTTTTGTCAGACGAATTTGAATTTTTTAAAATTTGAAATATAATTTAAATAAAAAAAAATAAAAAAAAGTGTGAATTAGTCAGGAGGTCACAATTCAAACCACATGTATTTCCATTCAATCAAAATTAAAATATAAACTAGAGAATTATGAATTTTTTAAAATATAATTTAAATAAAAAAAAAAAAAATTAAAAAAAGTGTGAATTCATTTTCCACAGCTGGTGGTTACAACAACTATGATAATTTGCAATACAATTCGACAGCAGGCGGGTCAGCAAATTGGACATGGTTACCAAATCCACCAAACAATACAGCCGGCACTGGTGGTTCGGGACCGGACATTTATTCACGTTCGCAATGGACAGGTAATGCTCAATCGACAACCGGACCATTGAGCGGTATTCGCGCTGGACCAGGTAATTCGGCATCAAAAAGTGGCTCCGAATACGATTACAGCGGTTATGGATCTGGCTCTGGCTATGACTATGATTATAACAACTATGCAAAGGATCAAAATAATTACACACAACGTTCATATGGCAACGATACAGCTGTATCCTCACAATATCCGCCAAGCCAACAAGCTGTTTAAATAATCATAAATAACGCCCGTAAAATAGAAGACGAAAAAGAAGAAGAAAATTCAATAATTTTTTTCTCTCTTTTTCCATCTCTAATTAAATCAATTATCAAACAAGAATAATAATAACTACTTTAAACAAGATTTAAAAATGGTAAAAACAAATCAGCAGATTAATGATAACAAGTATAAAAAAAACGACAAAAAACCCAAAAAAAATTATTCAACACAAGCAGAATATATTATTACTATTATGATGTATACCTAATTATATAACAATCTATATATGTAAAGAAAAACGTAAGCAACTCTACACAAAACAAAACAAAAAAAAAACAAGTGGAAAACAACAGCCAAACCGTGTAACTCTAAGCAAATAACGAGGAATTCTATAATATCCAATAGGTTTATATATTTTTTTCTGTTCGCATTTGACACAGACAGACTAGAGCTAGAACACACACACACACTTTTTGCACACTCAACCACACATAAAAACACACATTTCCTTCCTCTTTTATTTTTCTTTCTTGCGTTATATATTCGTACTTCTAATTTTTGATTTCGATTTAATTTCATTTCATTAGTTTTTTTTTTAAACAAGCAAGCAGAAATTTAAGATAGAATGTTCTTTTTTTCGTTTTAATGACTGTCATTCAATCATGAGGACAAAACAAGCTTAAGCCCGCGCTCTCCACACAAGACACGGATTAAAGAGATATATAGTTCGGATTTAATTGAAGTATAAAAAAAAAAGATTGTATTAAAGAGAGAATTTAAATTTCGTTTTTAATTTTGCACTCATTTCGATTATTAATTATTATTAAATAGATCATATCGTGATTTACTCTACAAAGAAAGAAACGTTTTTTGATTAGGTGTTTCGCGTACGTGCGCGTGACGAGCATCAAGCGGTAAAGATTTAATGTTTAAACAAAAATAAAAATGATGAACATAGATGAATGAAACTAAATAGATTTTAAAGAGAAAAAAAAACAAACGTAAATTTAGAGCAAACGATATAAAGATTGTACTAATTTATATAAAAAGTAAACAAGGAAAACATAGAGCATACAAGAAAAACCCGACTGACACAAAAATATAAAAATAAAGTAAAAAAACAAATTTGATAATATTTAAAGTAACAGTAATTCATAACGAGAGTAATGCCGTAAAGTTATATTTATACAAGTTTTTAGTAGATAAAAAAAAGTGAGAAAGAAATTAATATTGAAAAAATCACAAATCCCCAATCAATAATAATAACAACATTAACAACAACAACAACATCAAAGTCATAGCATGTCAATTTTTGCCTCTTCTTGGACAACACAATTTGTTTTTAGCATTTGAGATAAACACACGTTGAATAACAATCAAATTTTTATCATTGATTGATATATTACAAGCACGTTACAATTTCTCTCCCATTTGTTTTTTTTCTTTTCTCACCACCAAACAAACTGCAGTTATATTTTATATATATAATCGAACATTATAAATACCAGCACACAAAATAAACATTCAATTTCAAGATTATCTTCATAGTAGGAACAATTTTTGATAAATACATTTTATTTTAATGTAATAAAAAAAAACCAGGAAGTTTATATAATTGTTCTTTTAAATACAAAGAAAAATTGATTTGCAAGGGTGTGTTAAGCAAATTGTATCCATTAAAAGATAGAAAGCGAGAGAAATTAAATGATAGCATTGTTTTAGTAGATTTAAAAAAAAATACCATCAAAATTATTAGAAGAAATAAAAAATTGTCTGCGACAGCATAATTTTCATTCATTTTCGTTCCTCAATTTCCGCAAGCGCGTTGAGAATGTGAGGAACACACACACTAGAAGCATAGATCATTTGGTTTTTTTCGCGAATACCACTTGCAAACATGTTATGAAAAACGTGGACACCGATTTTGTTTTGTAAAAAATGAGAATTAATTTTTTTTAGCAAATAGTGCATACACAACCGCTGACTTTCACTGTGTAAAAGTTTACGTTTTTTCTTTTTTATTACTTTTACTATTTTTTTTTTTTGGAAAAAAACTCTGATGCTCAACATGTGCATTAAATTTAAAATAAATAAAAATTGGAATGAGAGATAAACACAGGAAACACTAATAATGAAAACAAAAATTATAATAGGAAAATTATACATGAACACACACTACCTTTTCTTTTGTAAGCACATATAAACACCTTTCTTTTTGATATAAACAATTATAATTAACATGCAGAAAATAATTGATCTTTTTTTATTTTATATCTGATACAGTTTTTGTTTTTCGATCGAATCGAATTTTTTCATTTGATATTGTTCGATCATTGCTTGTTCCTCGTTGTTTTTTTTTATTTGAGAATTTGGCATAGATGCGATGCGGACACGTCTCTCGATGGAAGAGACTATCATTATTAATTTTGGTTTGGTTGTGTTTTTTTTTTTTCAAATACAGAGTCGTCACATTGGACGCACTACAAAAAGAAAAGCAGAGTCTTTCGTTACAAATCTGATCATTATAATACAAACATTATATTCTGTAATCATTTTTTACTACAATATCATTTTTTTTTTGTTCATTTTCTTTTAATTTCGATTACATTTTTTTTCACTTCCTTTATTAAAAGTTTTTAAAATCAACATTAATCGGTTTTTTGTGTTCTTTTGTCAATTATTATGGAGGTATACATATTTTTTTTTTATTCTAGCGCAACCTTATTCGTTTTTAGCAACTAACCCCTTGTTTTTCTCTTGATACATTCATACATATATAAATGTAATATTACTAACATCGTGTAACAACACTAGAAGCACTCAATATTAGGGAATATTAGTATATGCCGAAAAAGCCTTGTTCATTTTGGGGGCAAATTGGAGGTGTTTGTTTGACATTTTTCATTTCTTTGGATTTTTTACGGTGAAATGGATTTTTTGACTTGAATTTTTGGTTCTTTTTTCAATTTGTTTGTCAAATGTACTTGTGATCCGTTTTTTTTGAGACCAATTTTTTCCGTTTCGAAGAATACCAATCAACGAGCTTGAGTGTGTGTATAATATTTCATTTTCTGTTTCGATCGACCACATATTATTAAAATACTTTTTCCACACTAGGTGTGCGAAAATTGGCTTGAAGTTCTTTTTTTCTGGTTTTCACAAGGCACACACACACACAAACTCACAATCTTATCCCAAATTGTTTTTTTTTCTAATTCAACTACTCGATATAATAATAATAATGTAATAATAATGTGTACAATTTAATTGAATGTAAAAGAAAAAAAATCTAGAAGAAAACCGTACAAAAAAAGAGAAAAATGTCTAATTCTGAGCAAAAACATCCGTTGACAGATAAGATGCAACCACAAAACGATAACAAAAAAAAAGAAATATATATATTATATTAAAACACACACACGATGAATATTTTCCTCTGATTTTAAATGAATGGTGTTGTTTATTTATGTGGAACATCCCATCACACACACACACACTTACATACAAGACGCGTATCGGTTGAATTATTACAATTCAAAATAGATCATCAAATTTAAACATGAAACAACATAACTATTGACATGACAAACCATCTAAGAGAGACAGAGCAACACATAAAAATATGAATGAAAGTAATAAGTGTATCAGAAAATACAAAACGTTAAAATCGAAATACAGGCACCGAATAATGGTCTGAATAATTCTATTTTTTACTATTTTAAAGAAAAAAGGAAAATCAAGTTAAATTTATCAGTTGGAAAATCGCTCGATTTTTTTGTCTTGATTTTTCTTTGATTCATTTTCGCGCATAAGAAAACTTCGAACTTAGAATCGTCTTACAATTTTTTTTATGGTTAAATGAGGATTCAATTAGTTTGCAATCATACATTTGGTGAAATTGATCGCTTTGCAAATGGATCGACTAAACCGTGGGTCACGAGAAATAATGACTGCTTCTCGGTTTGATGCTAGTGAACCACTAATGGTGGTTACCTTCACAACCATAGGCTCCCTCCACAATTGCTTGAAGTGCTCAATTCAGATCATTTCCACGCCTGATGTATGATCGCGATCAAGTACTATTATTTAAAGGTAAATCATATAAACATGAACAAAGTTCAAAACATGCTAAGAAAACGTTTGATCGTTTCTTCCTCAATCTTACAGCCAAAGTGTGTTTTTAATTCTATTTAAGCGAATTTCATTTTCTCTGCAAAAAAATTTCCGTTGTTATTCAACTAACGCTAATGTTTTTTCGTCTAAATACTTCAATTTTCTCTGTAAGTCTTAAGAAATGTTCACTTTATTGGTTTCATATATATATTCATCATTTCAGACATTTTCGAATTTTTTTCATAAAGAATAGGTAAAAAAAATCGTAATTTTAATGGACTCTAATGTAATACAAACACAAAAATCTTTGAAAAGTATCAATACAATTGAACGTTCACACTTCAAACGAAAAGAAAAACAAAAAAAGATAACTTAAATATAGATAACAAATTCATTTGAACAATTTAATTGAAAAAAAAAACAATTCACACATACACCAGTTGTGTACTATTTAAATAGAGGTGTTAATCGCAAAATGGCCCCATCGAGTGTTTGAGACGCAAGATCGCGAATGTTGGTTTCTAAAAATAAAACTTAATTGGCCATTGGCCTGAATATATTTCGAATCGAAAAAGGATTTTACAGTGAATTTGCAGAATAGTATCATCGATAACCAATGAATTGATCAAAAAATTAGCATGATCAGCAATGTTTGATCCCCAAAGTCGAATTCGTCCAATACGCTACATCCACAAACTCAAATTTTATCAATAAACACACACAAACCGCCACTCGACACACACACCTCTACCTATTACACGTTAAACAATTTTTTTTAAAGAAAGATTAAAACAAAAAACTCTAAATCATAGTAAGATGCTAAAAGTTATAACATTACGAAAGAGATGAGAGAAAAGAAGAAACAATTTATTTATTTTTTACGTAACAAAAATGAGCAAAAAAAAAGAAAGAGAAAAAAACAAACAAAATGAAAAGAGCTAAAATTTAAGTGAACAAAAAAATACATGCACGGTGTGAGAAACGTGAAAACATGATGAATTTAGTAAATTTAATGATTTATAAGATGACGATGATGAAAAGAGAGTTTATTGTAAATGTATCTGTAACAAAACTTGAAATACAGCAACCTGATTTCCGGAGGAGACTTCTTCTTTTTTTTTCGTTTAGTCCACTGATTTTAGGGATTAATACACAAATTAAATGTAATTCTGGTAAAAGAAAATAAGGAAAAAACAACAATTTTATAGACAATTTCATTCAATTTGAATTTCATCATCCTGTTTCTAAGTAAGAAGAACAAAAAAAATACATATAAAACAGAGAGATTCGCACACAGCAACAACAACAAAAATACATTTTTATGCAAAACATTTTTCATTTCTTTCTCAGTTCAATTTGTATTAGATATGCAAATTATGAATGCCAATGTTTCGTTCCATTTCGAATAGCGATTTTTCATCGAATCGAAATCGGAATTGGTCCGTTTGTGACATGCTCTGTTTAGACGTTAAAAAAAAGTTATATAGATTTGTATAAAAAATAGATGAAAAAAATAAACAAGTGGAGCAAACCTTTAAGATTTATCGCGTGAAGCAAAAAAAAAATAAGTGTAATTTTAAATTGAACCAAATGCCACTATAAAAAAACTACTGTTTAGACAAAACGAATAATTTAGCAAAACAAATGAAACCTATTTATACGTTTACTTATAGATTTCAAGGTAGAAAATAGTGCATTAAATTAACAAATTACATTGAATTTTATCAAAACAAACAAAAAAAAACATTCACGATATTATCCCCAAGTTATAGTTGTAATTTACATCAAAAGCAAATGCCAAATTTTACCAAAAAATATAAAAGTCAAAAAAGCAATCTGAGACAGCGAAACTTCATCTTCTCCCTACCCCCACACACACACACTTTTTTCGGAACGGAAAGGAGAAATATTTCTTTTCTTTTATTAAAAAAATTCTTGACCAACTTCCTGTTTAGGATATTGCTTGCAATTCATCTCCTGCTCCTATTTGCTCCGTTTGATAGATTCAATCTGATAAAAAGGTATTTCTATCCAGTTTGGTCGTTTTATGTACCAAACAACATTACCAATTTTTAAGAAAAACGTTGAATTTTTCGTGGTGACAATATACGTTCTCTCACAACACAGAAACATTCACTCATATACAGATAGTGGCACAACATCAATTGAACTTATTTGCATTAACTTTTTTAAAGAAAACAATACAAAATAGAAACAAATCAATTTTTTTTCTAAACGAAACAAACTTCACTTTTTAACAAATTATGAATAGAGAACCGTTTACTAGGACAAACTGAGTAACAACATTTAAACAAAAAAGAAAACATTACAAAGTAATAAAAAAAATTATGGATTTGTTGTTGAAACCGACAAATGTGCATTAACTATTAAATAGAAGAAAGTGGCGAAATGTGTATTACATTTTTGACTGAAATAGACAACACTTTAAATTACGAATTAGTACTCTGGTACACCAGAAAGCGAGAAAGAAATTCGAGAAAATGTTTTTAAAATGCGTGTTTTTGTTTGTTTTTCTTTCAGATCATCTATTTTTTTTTCTTCTCAATAAATTTCATTTGAATTCATCATAAAGCCAAAACATTTCCGATAAACTTCTTTTCTTTCAATTGTCCTTCAATTTTTTCGGATATCGATTTTCATTTTAATAAAGGCATATTTTCTTACCATTTTCACTTACATTTAGTTTTTATACAATGAATGATATGATGATATATGAACACAAAAACCAAGTCTCTGTCGATTCATATCTAAATACTGATTTAAACAAACAAACAAACAAAAACTAACGTAAGGTACAATTAGAAATCTTCATCTATAAAATGGAAAGAACAAGCTCTTGATCATTGATTGGTACATAGAGAGTGAGAGAGAGAGAGAGAGAGAGAGAGAGAGAGAGAGAGAGAGAGAAAAAGATCGTTGGACATATGAAATAGACACATACGCGTAATTTAATTTTTAAATACATGTATAAGACGAACAACATTTGACAGCTACCAAACACTTCAAATTCAATAAAAAATCACTTATTTCGCGATCAAAATGAACAATAACAAAAACTTATCACACGGTAAATGTCATGTTTAATGTTAAAATATGTTCATGAAATTCATAGATACCATACCGAAAAACCTATATACAAATAACAAAATTAATGAACCAAATTATTTCTTGGCACTTTTTGAAATCAGATCACAACACATTGGTTACCGAAATTCAGCTCGACGCCATTGATAGACCTCGAATGGACCACGAAGTCTGCATTTGTCAGGGATTGATTTTTTCTTTCCAATTTGTGGAGAAAACTCATTCGGTATTTGCCTTGAATAATCATCAATATTTGATTGATTACAATTCACTTCCTTTTCTTCCGTGAAATGCTTGGTCATTTGATCGAAGAATTGAACAAATTTCGAACAAAAATGTTACGAGAAATATTCGGTTCACATAAATACACCTAATAAACAATTCCTCAAATGAAAAAAAAAAATTTTAGGGCTTTTTCGCCCAACAACAATGTGCATTGTGCAGTTTAAGGATAACATTTAATGAAAATTAATTTAAAAAGAATATATATATGAGAATGCTAAATAGAGAATAATCTTAATTACATTTAAACAAAAAAGAAAATGATGAGAAAATCTACAAATCTAATTTTTAACGAGAACGAATGGCAAAATGCAGGATATAGGCAAAGAGTGAAAATATTGGAAAAATCATCAAAGTGTTGAGACAAAAAAAAAATGATTTTCAGGCGTTGACGACGATGAGATCGCGGTTACAAGATAAAATAATACATACTTTGTTTTTTACATACATAAATGGAAGTAATAAATTAAATTAATCTAGCAAAGTAAAGAGAATTACACAAAAACACTCACACACAGACACCCAAAAGAACACACATACACAAAAAGAGGAAAAAATTCAAACAAAAAAAAAATAATATTAAATAATTGTACGTAGTAATAATCGTGTAGAAAAAAGAGAATGTACTATTCAAAGAAAAAAAAGTGACAAAAAAATTATAATATTATATTATATATGGAACTCTTACTAATTGATTTGTCTTCTAAAAAATGGATATCTGAACGAGAATGAATAAACATTTTCAATGTTTGATTTTGACTAATGAAAAATACCAATTATTATAACCAAAATCTGTTTTAATATTACACTATTATTATTATTTTTTTCATATCTGTGTAAAAGGGAAACTTTTTCCGTTTCGATTTCTTTTCTGTATTCAAAAAAAAAGGAAAATGATGTTATTAAAAATATATATACAAAAGAGAACAAAATGCAACCAACACAAATGGAGTACATTTTTCTTGCTACTTGATCTTTAATATCTCATATATAAGTTTAATCATGCTCATGCACACACACACATCACAGCATCATGTAAAAGGTTTCAAAGTTTATTGTTCGAATATATTTTACTGCTATTAAAACGTCTACAGCGACCATGAAGCTGAATTTATTATGAATGTGGAGTGAGCGAAGTAGAATGAACGAGAAAAAGAGACAAATTTCAGGCACTCACTAATATTTTCTCAGCAAAAATGAACATTAAGTAAGGAAAATATCTATGGATTTAACAGAACAAAGTTTTAAAATAAAATAGCAAAACAAATCTACACAAAATGTGAAAATTCAAAATAAGTAGTTTGCAGTTTTATTCTTCTTCATTTGTGGTTTTATTATATCATCGATATTCAATCATCAACATGGAACTACTTTCTATTGTATTTAAGAACAAATCGGTGTAATTTCTATGGTTTTTTTAAATTGCGCTTCGTTTCGAGTACACACTGTGTTCAGAGCATGAAATCGTCACACACAAAGAACGCTCTTACCAGGAGGCCTCTGCTATTGGTGTGATTAACCTCATTTGATTTAGCGCGAGCTTTGTTAGCGAGTTCAGGGACCACGATCCCGTGATAATACCCTAAGTAGTCGCGTTGCTTCAAAAATGCGATTTCATACTCTGAACGAATTTTTATTGCTCTACAAATTACACTGATATAGAGCTACCTTTTGTGATATTTACCTGATTAAAGTTGTACTCAATAACACTAACTTATTTCTCTACATCTTTGTTGACATTTCCGAGTTCGTTAAGATAGTTATCTACTCGAATATGTGTAAAGGGCTTACTATGCGTAAACTTTCAATGAAATTACACAAGGCACGTGACATACTTGTATGCAAATCACAATTGTAAATTGTTTCATCTTGTTTTTCATTTCTTCAAATTGAAAAGTCACGGATTATTTCAAAAAATTGGTTTTAGTCACTTTTTTTCTAGATCTGATCTTCTTGATCAAAATTTTATCGAATGACTGGTTGTTTAGTCTAGCGCGTAAATTCTATTCCGTGTACTTTTGTTTCTATCTGAATAAGTGCTTTCAAGTACATCACATATGAGTGCATATGACAACAAAAAAAAAACGAATGAGTAATAAATAAGAATAAAATCAGTTTGAAATGAAACAATTAGGTAGCATTTGTCTGGCCAAATGTTATTTGCTCTTATCTGGTTTGCACTCAATTTCCAAGATTTTTCGGCAATAAATTATTTTGCGTGCGCATTCGAATTTTATCATCCCGTATCATCCGGTCATTAAAAGCAAAGTAAATTTGATAATCAGTTTGCTATTTTCACTCGATGAAATGTGAAATATTCACATGATACATTACCATATTAAGAAGTTCTGAACGCTTAAATTGTGAATAGACTCTTATCAATACACAGCAGCATCGAAGATTTTGCATTTTGACATAATCTAATCATTGATTTATAACGGTTTTGATATCAAATTTCCACATTGTTTCAACGTTTGCGAAGAGCTTGAAATTTAAATATCAATGCACCGTCTTCAGTACCGTCGCACCGTTAAAATGGTTTGCTACTGTTGAATAATCCAGTGTGTTATTAATATACGTTGATTACAATCCACATTCCATGTGATATATACTTACTATTGTGTGCCAATTTAAATCGAATACATTCAAATAAAAAAAACTATGCAGTGTTTGCCATTCGTTCGGTTGACTGTTTGGCCTGAACCGTATCTATGACAACGAACCGTTTACGAAAATAAAACAACGAAAATTTACACACATTCTCTTCCACCAACACAATTGACATATACGGAAACGTAGAAAAAACTATTCATCCAAAAAATGGTTCGCATCCAGTTTGATATCACGATACCAAGCGAATCAATAATGGACAACGAAACGTTTGGTAAGAATTTTGTAAATTTAACTGGTGCACAGTCCGGTACATTACAAGACGTGGCTTTCAATTTAGTTCAAGATCGTACAAATTCAGCACAACCAACGAAAGAACGAACAATATTTGTGCTTGGCAGCAAAGGGGTGGTAAGTGATTGCTCGTGTTCACTATATTCATTGAGATTTTACATTAAGTTTGTTGACACTTTGTGCATTGATAAGCAATGTGGCCACTTCAATGAATTGCATCTTTTTTTTTGAAATTTTATTTTTGTTTTCAAGGGCAAAACATCGATAATAAACAATTTCCTTGATCGATCTGAAACGATTAAGCCCACATTAGCGTTGGAATATTCGTTTGGACGACGAAGTGGCGGACCGGGTCAGGGCTTACAAAAACAAGTGTGCAATGTTTGGGAATTGGGTTCCCTTTCGAATTCATCGTCACTCATGAATGTGCCCATTAAATCTCATGGTTTTGAAAATTTTGCATCAATCATTGTATTGAATCTATTGTATCCGGATCGATTGTGGGGTGACTTGGAGGCAGCTTTAAATGGACTGAAACAAACGATTACAACGTACGCAAACAAAGAAGCGTATGAAAAATGGCAAAAGAATGCTGTTAAACGTGTTGGCACCAATCACACTGATTTACCAACATTAGATTTATTTCCATTTCCCGTTGTTATTATTGGCGGTTATTATGATAAATTTCAAGATTTTGGTAAGTTTAATTCAAGGACATGTTTCATTCCTGTGACATTGGTGGCTATAGGGAGATTTCAATAGTAAATGCTCTTTGGCATTCAAATGTTCCACATTTTCTTTAGATCCTGTAATCAAACGGCATGTGGGTCGATGTTTGCGTTCAATTGCACATGTTATCGGTGCAGCGCTCATTTATTATTCATCACAACATTCGGCGCTTTCAAAAACGGTTCGTCATACATTGATTGAGTCTGAAGTGTAAAAATATTAACTCTGTTCGATTGTTTTACGTCTCTTTTTAGGTTCGTGACACATTCAATCATTTTGGTTTTGGCAGTCCAACAAAACCGTTTCGGTCAACGGTTATCGACTATAACGAACCGCTAATCATATGGTTCGGTCAGGACTCGTGGCAATCTATCGGCGTGGGCCCGACAAACTCAGAACGAATTAAAGTAACTTATGACGAACAAATTCCGCAAGTGAATTCAACCGATTCAAATACATATTTACCAGTTTCGAATCCAGCCAAAGAGGGCGATTTCCGTGAGTCAGTCATCGATGAAATAAGAGCACAAAAGGATGAAGAACTATTGCGTTGGGTCAAAGACAATGAATTTCAGAATAAATTTCAAGCAATTGCAACGACCAATTGATGATTAAGATAACTGCATATTCCGAAATGAAGGTAGATAAGACACGTAGTAGTATATCAAGAAGAAGCAATATCACCGATATAGAAATAACGTAGAGCAAATTAATTAGATTTTGTTTTTTTCTTTTTACTTTTCCGCACACACCTAGTGTGAAAGGGGAAAGTATTGCAATAGGTCAAAATTTACGAAACTTCAAAAACATGTTTTCTGGACGTTTCTGAGGTCAGAGAACCCGAATCAGGCCGTTTTGAGCATGGTTGTTGTGGGTCTGTTCCACGTCGTACGTCGTACGTCGTACGTCGTACGTCGTACGTCGTACGTCGTACGTCGTACGTCGTACGTTGTCCGCCGTACGCAAAATTTGTCCATCGATTTTCTCACCACCCAGAAAAGTTATTTGAAATCTGACTTCACGGGATGATTTGGGGTTCCCAGGAATAGAAATCATCAGATTTTGAGCGACTTTGGTTAATGGAAAAAAATTCCATGCCTGGAGTGATACCTATGAAAAAGAGTCCAATTTTCGTCCAAAAGTCATACTTAATGTAGACTTAAACACTCAAAAATATGTATTGGGGGGTTTTTTGGTACGAGAAAACCGAATCCGAGGTTATTTTTGAAATACAATCAATTTTTGATACAGTTTCCTTAAAAAAATCTCAAAAAATTGAATTTTTGTATGGGAGCCATTCCTGTATGCTACCTTAATGACGTGAAACTTTGCACAGACTATTTTTTACACAAAAAAATAACATTCTGAAAGTTTGAAGAGATTTGAATTAAAATTAGGGGTACCTCCCATACAAAATTTTCAATTTTCGGCTCAAAAACGAATATTTTGTATGGGAGGTACTCTTAATTTTGGTTGAAATTCCTCCAAACCCTCCAAATGTTATTTTTTTGTGAAAAAAATAACCTGTACAAAGTTTCACGCCATTAAGGTAGTATAGTTAGTTATGAAAAGTGTTTCAAAAATAATTTTTATGGCAAAATTAACGTCAGACATATATTTTTATAGTGTTTTGTTAGAAAATGAAATACTTTCAAATGTCGTACAAATGGGTTCATCATGAAAGTGTGAAAAATCTTTTCTCGAGTACTTCTGTTATTAAATAAAAGAATATTTCGATGCCAAAGTTGAGGGTTTTTGGTCTCGAACTTTACGCCGCTTGAAAGGCTTGAAAAATCGAACAAATATTATTTTGAACTTGCTTAATAAAATACGCAAATACCACAGTGCGGAAAAGTTCGTCTTACTCCTGTAAGACTCTTTATTTATTTTTCTAATCAAATTGATTTATTCATTTTTTTGTTGTGTTTCTTTTTATGTAACTATTTAAATATATTTGACCATTGGAGTTTTCCGATAAAAAGAACAATTGCAAACAAAGGGAAAAAAACAAATTTTACAAATAAAAAACGATTTTAATCGATGAAGCGTTTATTTGCAACTGAAATAACAGTGTATTTTTTTTCTCTTCTCGAATTCTCTATCAACACTAATTCACACCCAAATATCGTTAAGTGTATCATCTTCTAGTTCTTCGGGTGGCATTGCTTTTAACGTACGCAGTGTTTCCATGTAAAAAGTCAGTTCTGATGTGACCATACCACATTGTGGCCCACCATTTTTCACAATATTATATTTGATAAGTAATTCTCTAAGTTTATCTTTACAATTCTTATGCACCACACGGTACAGTTGATGAATTTGCTCAGTGGGCATTTGAACGCGTTAAAACGACGCGTTACACCACTTTTTTGGTGTATCGTTTACACTTTTATGTCGACACTTTTGTATGTAAGTTTTACACTACTTTTATGGTGAATATTTTACAATGATAGTGTATAGCAAGTCATGTATAACATTACACCACAGGTAAATACTTTACACCAAAATCATTGTCCGAAATACATTGCGAAAAAATTTGGTATATTTTTTTCACGAACGGTGTAAGATTTTCAAGTTTTCGATAGAAGTTAAAAGTATATTTTTCTAGTCAACAAATTTAATAATTTTTCCTCTGTAAGACTACAATATTTTGGATTTTTTTCGTTTCTATGCCCGAATATAAAAATACTTTTTTCGAAAATTTGCAATTTTTTCTCATTTTTCATTTTTACATCAAAGAAGCAATTTTTTTGCCCTCAGATCATGAAAATATTGAAAGATAAGCAATATTGCAATAATTTAAGTCCCAATATTTATAAAATTAATTCATTTTAATATTCTTGAAGATGTGATTACAAACATGTCCTCCATATTTCCATACTTCACACGACAAAAATTATCAAAAATATGGCTGCAGTGTATATTTTCCCTTTTTTCAGTGTATTGATTACACCGGATATTTTTGGTGCCGATATTTTCGGTGTAAGGTATACACACCAAAAGTCTGATGTATATTTTTCACTACTTACGGTAGTGGTGTATATTATGCTCCATAATCCAGTGATTTATTTACACCATGCGTATTTCATTTACACTATATGATAGTGACGCACTGCGTTACTTAAATTTCGTGTATATTTTTCCTGTAAAATTTAATTTCAAGGTTTCTTTTACACTAAATATCGCAGTGTATTTAATACACCGAAATTTACACCAAAAAAATTGGAAAAATACGTTAAATAATTCAAATTTTACTTGAATACACCAAAAGTGGGCAAATACACCGAAATTTTTTGCGATTTTACACTACTTTGGAAAATTTTGCCCACTGAGTGCTGTTCGGGTAAAATCTGCTGTTGATGCCATTGCTGCCGTTGTGACTCTATGTAAGAATTGTATGGAAAGACAAAATGGACTGTGCTTTTTTCGCTGCCGTTGCGTCTCTTTCCCTTTTTTCTTCAATCATTTTTTCATCTACATATGTGCATGGAAAATTATCTCGAATGAAAATAATTAAATACGAATTGAAAGAAAGAATGTCAATATCGTTCGCAGTGATTGATATGTTTGCCAATAGATAGGTAGTAGTAGTGCACAGAGTGCACATTTTGTCTGAATAAACACATGCATACACATGGAATGTTAATCGCAGTGTACGTTTTTTAAATGAACGATATTACACTTAATTCAAAGGTTTCACCTTTTCGTATACAATATTTTTCAGTTCTGAATAACAAATACACGAAAATTCTAGAAAACACTAAAATGTCATCATGTATTAACTGTAGTGTGTCAGAGGAAGCCGTAATGATTTTCCATCTGGCGTTGATAATGTTTTTTTTTTTTCGAGAAAATTCATCAAGCTTCGTTCTGTTGTTGTTTACAGTAATCTAGTTGTTTTCGAATTTGTTGGCAAGAATAATAAATAGGGGTCATCGAATTTTTGAATCGACAGATACTCAAGATGAGTATGCATTTTCCGATAGAGTACATCAAGACAAACAACTTTTGTTCCGGGAGTTTTTTGACCCGACACTTATGGGGCCTCCCGGTCCATTTGAATTTTCTGAGCAAAAAATCAGAAAAATAGCAAACATTTGTATGGAAACAAAATATTTTATATTTGAAGCGACTTGAAGTTAATTAGTTCAATTTTTTTAAAGCCATTTCCAACAAGCTATCTAGAAGCCAACAATGCCGCATTTGTGATACATTTGTATATTTGCTCAACATTTGTTGAATTTGCGATACATTTGCTGCATTCATTGAAAGCACAGAATATTTATTCAAAAATGATGCATTTGTTTTCGTGATTTGCCCCTAGGCATTACAAATCCCTCATAATTCTTCACAGAATCCATTCATGTTCATACAAAAGTTCAATTTAAACGATTTTGAGCGAAAGGTCCAAATTGATTTTGAAACTGCACCATATTTCATGGATACACCATTTTCTCAGCGATGCAAATACCACATTTCCACCTAATTTTCAGCGGGGAATCGAATGGAAGTGATTTTACAGTGATTCGACAACATTCAAGGGTCGAAAACTGGTCCGGTATTCAAAGTACTTTTCAACTCTCAAGCATTTTACCGATGGAACTAACAGAGTATAAAACGGTACAAAATGATTTCAAATGCATTCCAATGGACAAATCATTAAAAACATTGATTAAAGTCAATTTATAGGGTCAGACATGCATTTAAGTGGAACTAGTCCATGGACATGGTTACAATCAAAAAAATTATGAAAATTTTGCGATTTTTTGGGAAAAATGTCAACAAACCAGCACATACATCAAATATAAAAGTACTTCTGAGTCAAGACAACAACTTTTACAGGTACAAGACAAACAACTTTTGTTCCGGGAACTAATATTGTAAACTACATAGTCGGCTTATCAATGTAGACTCAAAAATCAATAAAAAAATAATAATAATAACCTTAATTTTGGCAAAATGGAAAATCCATTGGCCAGCCTCTCAGCTACACCAAATCACAAAATATATTTGGCCAATATTTTGACAATTGAAAATTAAAAAAATCCATTTTACAAACATCTCCCATTTTCATTAGTGTTTTCTTAATTCGAATAAGTTTTCTTAATTAAATGAAAAGTCAACATGATAAACTCTCGTTCAGGTCATTTATTTCTCGACTGCTTCAGTTTTTCAGATATCGAGCTGTTTTATAAATTTTTCAGTGAAAATCTATCGATAACCTATAAAACTATTACAATTGACCGATCATTCTTATGATAAATGAAATTATCTGAATAAATGATCAAAATGACTTGAAATTTGGGAGTTTTGCAAGAGCGAAATTTAATGTTTTTTAAAACTTCATTTAAAAAAGGAAATTTCACACGTTTCGCTTTTAAACTTGTTTAATAAAGTATTGTGCATACATTCTGATTTATCTATATAAATAAATAATCGAATTTAGCTGTTTGAAATGTAATTTCCAAAATAAATAGAACATTCACAAAATCATTGTCTAAATGTTCACGTAAATGTGATTCGTGTATATTTTTCAAATTATTCAAATTGTATGAAATGATAACGCAGTAAATAATGCCAAGTAATGGCACATCCGAAAATTGCCACGAACATTGGTATAGCGCTAGTATCGTGTATTCGAGCATTGGCCGCATTAGTCGTTGAACGCAACTGTCAGACAGGTCAAACCGTGGCCGAGATGTCAAATCACAAATGTCATTAGTTGTCTCTATCGAAATCTCCTGTCAAGCAAGTTATATATTAATTATTGTATTACATTTTGTTGGAGACTTATTTATTTAGAAATATAAAAAAAGAATGTGAATGTGAACAAAAAAGATAAAAAAATTAATATCGTGACGAATTATGTAATAAAATAAATATTATAATTCAATTACTCAGCGGCTAGTGTGATTTCATAAGTCTATACAGACACACAAAGGTCGACTCGCATTGGATAACATTTCTATTTTTTACACCTAATGACGGCTCATCATTTTTGTTTTTATTTCATTAATAAAACTAAATTAAAATTGAAATTAAATTTGAAAATGTAAGTTTTTTGCGAATGCGATTGCGTGGTTTTATTGTTCTGCTGTGCAGCAGCAGCAGGAATATATTGAGGTTAGATGTCCCCCTGAGTCAATTTTATTGTATTATTTTTTTGTAGTTCTTTTATTTAATGCACGTTTGGAAAATTAACAAAAAACAAATTAGGAAAATGGATTTATTGTTTTATTTTATTTATAATATTTTCATTTATAAGTTTTATCGTTGTTTCAAATTTTCTGTTCACTATATGATACTCTTTTGTTCCACATTTGATACAAATATCAGAAAATTTGGAACAACGATGAAACTTATGAATGAAAATATTTTAAATAAAATAAAACAATAAATCAATTTTCCTAATTTGTTTTTTGTTAATTTTTCAAACGTGCATTAAATAAACGAACTACAAAAAAATAATACAATAAAATTGACTCAGGAGGACACCTAACCTCCATATGATCCTGCTGCTGCTGCACAGCAGAGCAATAAAACCACGCAATCGCATTCGTAAAAAAATTTACATTTTTCAATTTTAATTTAGTTTTATTAATAAAATAAAAACAAAAATAATGAGCCGTCATTAGGTGTAAAAAATAGAAATGATATCTAAAGCGGGTCGACCTTTACATTTGACAATTCAAAATAGAATGTGATCAATAAATTGAGTGCGACAATTTAACATGTTCGAATCAGTTTCAATCGTGTGTTTTGTGTTTTTGTATATTGGTAACGCTTTGCAGTGGTATACGCGTATTCAAGCATACTTTCCGCTGAGTAATTGAAATATAATATTTATTTTTTTTACATAATTCGTCACGACATTAATTTTTTATCTTTTTTATTCACATTTCACATTGTTTTAAATAAAATAACTGTCAAGTGTAGTTTTGTTAATAGGGATTGATAAGTTTCTCGCGTGATCCACCTGTCAAAGCGCTGTCGTCTACTTGTTCCAGCGTCTAACAGCGACAATTGTCATTCTGAGTTAGTCTTTCAATCGTTTAGCATCGAAACTCCGTCAGTACATCAAAATAGTCAACACCCAACACAAGCTACGCATCGAAGAGCGCCGCTAATAACAATCGTTCTACGTACGACATAAAATCCACGAATCGAAGGTAAAAAAATAATTCCACATGTTTCTTCGACAGTTTTTTACAGAAAAAAAAATTATTTATCAAAGCAAAAAAGCATCCTTTACCTAATTTTTAATTTTGTTTGTTGTGTTCAAAAAAAACCTGGTTTGCACTTGTTCCGTTTATTTGTTGCGTTTATTTGAAATAGTAAATTTTACCAATCGATTTAAATCGTATAGAAATCGCAATTTTCATTTTTATTGATTATTATTAATCCAATTTTTATTCCAAGAGAATTATATCGTGTCGACCACCGAATTGATTTGCTTCCCAATTTTTTTTCCCCACATTGCCCACGTTCAAACATCGTGAAATTTTTTTTAGAGAAAAAAAGTAGAAAAAAAACATGGTTAGCGTCATAGCCATTAGTACATTTTCTCAACTTCAAAGCAAATTCCGTTCGTTTAAGACAAAACCAGATTGAATTGGCCATAAATATAGTCATGGAAATTTTGCATTTAATTTTTTATTCTTAACATCGCGTATTAGCTCTAGATTACTACGAAATTCGCTTTTCAAGAAATATACGCTCATTGTGTGCATCAGACACAGTAATGATAATATAATCAAAATATCAATTTTTTCACCTTCGTTTTTTTTGTTCTTCTCTCTTCTCTGTTATATATACGCTTAATACGATGAACAGATGAAGCTCATATTTACACATCGACCCATAATTATTGCATATGTGGTAGTATGTGTAGATTACTTGCAATGCATTTTGTTGGTTTTTTTTTCATTCAAATTTTCTTCTGCCGCAAAAAAAATTAGTATCGTCAATTTTATCCAAGAACAAAGTGACTAACTAAAAATCCGTGGTCTGTTTCTTTTCTTGGTCTCATTTACAGATGTCTAAACGTGAGGAAGAATTGTTGAATAAATCGTATGGAAGCTCGTCAAATGATTCGGATTTAAGTGGAGCGGGAGTTTTTACAGCTGACGAACTTGGTCATAAGCTTAAATTGGATCCTATAGTAACAAAATGGCTCAAAAAACAACCGCCAAATGAGGATGATCCCCTATTGATTCTAGCTTATAAAAGTGGCTTTTTTAATTTGGAAAATTTCAAATACCGTAAGGATTTAGTTACCAGCAGCTTGATAGCAAACGGTGGTCAACAAGTAAGCGGAGAAGTGTTCCAATTTGACGATTGGCCTACACTCTTTAACGCACGTGACAGAATGATAAGTGAAATGCCATGGGCATTTTATTCGTCCTACCCTGGTATTCTTCAGTTGAATGGTCATCAGTTCGGTCAGGAGGTCACAATTTCAACCACATTGATAATGTTTTATGCAGAAGATCAAGACAAATTACAACAATTCCCATATGAATTTTTTAAGATTTGAAAATTGAAAAATGTTCAAAGTTTTTTTTTAAGTATACAATTGGTTCATCAACAATACAGCCGGCACGGGACCGGACATTTACATTACAATTTTCATATAATTTAAATAAAAAATAGAATAAAAAAAATAAAAAAAATGTAAATTCATATCCCACAACTGGTGGTTACAACAACTATGATAATTTGAAATATTGTACAATTCGACCATTTTTCCGTTTCGATTTCTTTTCTGTATTCAAAAAAAAGGGAAAATGATGTTACTAAAAATATACAGTATGTCTCATTATATAAAGCCATCGATTTTTCATATTAAAACTCACAAGTTGTACAAACTTATTTTATATAATTTTTATTTGACTTCTAAGCTACGACGCACACAATCAATATTTGAACGCTCTAGAATAAAAACAACTTATTGATTACTCGCATATCGAATCGGAACTCAAAACGGGTGCATATCAAAGCGAGACAATATTTAGTTATCATAGGAATAGAGAACATTGGCTTTTTATTATGCGAAATATGTAAGTTTCATTTTGTGCTGATAACTAGCTACTGTTCTGCCTTGTTTTAGTAACAGAATTTTGTTTCGCTTTGATATGCGACGCAGTTTAACGGTATAAATATTTCACACTCTCGAAGGCTCGGTATAGAACACACAAAAAGTGAAAAAAAAACTTCTTATTCTCAAATTTCATAAACAATCAAATGGATTGTATCAGCAATTTTTATTGCGCAGTTGTGTGTCAATAGAACGTTGTTTGTAAACACAATGCCATGCATTGAGAAATAACATGTAAGGGTGAGTTAGATAGTATTGAACAACGATTTGGGTGACAGAAATAGCAAATTTTTACAATCAGTCGCACCAGATGATATAGGCTATTTAGTTGTGCATAAAAATTGAGAAAAAAATCAGATTTTTTTTTCACTTTTCATGCTCTATACCGAGTCTCCGAGAGTTTCATATAAACTCGCCTTGCAATAGCCAAATGACGCCTATTGATTCAATCACGATTGGTATTCGCTTACTATTCAATAGGCATCACATAGCAAGTTTATATGAAACTCTCGGAGACTCGGTATAGAGCACTCAAACAGTGAAAAAAGTCCAGATCGTGATTTAGATGATATGGAATGCGATTTTTTTCATTCCGATTCCACCAGGTGATATAGAAAATTGAGTAGTATTTGAGAATTGAAGAAAAAAGATTTAATTATTTTTTTCATTTTTCGCCAATTTTTACCATCTATATGGGAAGCTTGTATGAAAAACACGGAAGACCGCTGAAATGGCACTGTCGTACGTCCGCACATATTTTGCATTTGTCATTTCAGCGGTCTTCCGTGTGTTTCATACAAGCTTCCCATATAGATGGTAAAAATTGGCGAAAAATGAAAAAAATAATTAAATTTTTTTTCTTCAATTCTCAAATACTACTCAATTTTCTGTATCACCTGGTTCAATCAGAATGAAAAAAATCGCATTCCATATCATCTTAATCACGATCTGGACTTTTTTCACTGTTTGAGTGCTCTATACCCAGTCTCCGAGAGTTTCATATAAACTTGCTATGTGATGCCTATTGAATAGTAAGCGAATATCAATCGTGATGGAATCAATAGGCGTCATTTGACTATTGCAAGGCGAGTTTATATGAAGCTCTCGGAGACTCGGTATAGAGCATGAAAAGTGAAAATCGCTGGTACAAGCCATTTGATTGTATATGAAATTTGAGAATAAGAAGTTCTTTTTCACTTTTTGTGTGTTCTATACCGAGCCTTCGAGAGTGTGAAATATTTATATCGTTAAACTGCGTCGCATATCAAAGCGAAACAAAATTCTGTTACTAAAACAAGGCAGAACAGTAGCTAGTTATCAGCACAAAATGAAACTTACATATTTCGCATAATAAAAAGTCAATGTTCTCTATTCCTATGATAACTAAATATTGTCTCGCTTTGATATGCACCCGTTTTGAGTTCCGTTTCGATATGCGAGTAAACAGTAAGTTGTTTTTATTCTAGAGCGTTCATTTAATCCAGTCACCGTCATGCTCGATCACACGGGCACATCTATTTGGCATACTTTTGCTCAAATTTTCAGCATATTCGCGTTGAAGACCTTTCCACTGTCGTTGAATGAATGAACTGAACTGCTTCAAATTGCGGTGTGTTTTACCACGAAGCCTTGCCTTAATAATGGCCCAAACATTTTCGATCTGATTGCAATCGGGTGATTGTGGTGGCCAGTTCATTTGTTTAATGTCATTTTCCTCCTTCCAGCGGTGCTGAGACGACTTTTGTGTTTTGGATCGTTGTCTTTTAATAGAAGCCAATTCGAATTGCCGTTGCCATAGAACTTCTTGGCGGTGGGTAACAGTGTCGACGAATAAAGTTGGTTCATCCTAACAGCGTTTAGAATGCCCGTGAATACGGTCAACTTTCCAAAACCAGCTTCACAGAAGCAACCATAAACATGCACCCTTTTCGGATGCTTTACCGTGCGAACGACCACTCTCTTTTCGGCTCTAGACTAGGCATGGGTAGTGCTATTCACCAGCCAAAAGAATGACTCGTCAGTGTATATAACTTTGATCCAATCTCTTGTTGAATTTTGGTTTGCCCAGTCAATGCGTTTTTCTTCTGGTTTTCTGTCAAAAGTGATTTCTTCACTGTACTGCGATAATGAACACCGGCAACATCCAATCTTCTTTTGAGCGTGGTCTTCGAGACGTCTATTTTATGACGCCGTAGCCGTTCATCGCCTTGATGCAACGTCATACCTGGATTTTTATCGAACAACTTGACTATCCGTTTATCTTGTTGTAGCGAGGTGGCTAGATTTGGCTTCATATTGGGCTGATCGTTCACATTTTTTTCACGCTTATACTGCTGGATCCACTTATTTACGAACCCTTTCGACTTTTTAATGTATTTTGCGACCTTCACTATTGACCATTTTGGTCCAAACGGGTGCAAATGCAAAAAAACTGCTTCAAACCGTTTTGAAAAATGTTCGGAATTCATATTTTTGTTGCACAACAAACACTGTACTGATTTTTGAACTGTCAAATTTGTTGTGCGTCGTAGCTTAGAGTTGACATCTAGCGACACCACAAATATATTTAAGATATTTGTAATTTTTGTCTAAAAAATCGGTGGCTTTATATAATGAGACACACTGTATATACAAAAACAAAATGCAACCAACACAAATAAAGTACATTTTTCTTGCTACTTGGTCTTTAATATCTCATATATAAGTTTAATCATGCTCATGCACACGCACACACACACACACATCACAGCATCATGTAAAAGGTTTCAAAGTTTATTGTTCGAATATATTTTACTGCTATTAAAACGCCTACAGCGACCATGAAGCTGAATTTATTATAAGTGTGGTGTGAGCGAAATAGAATGAACGAGAAAAAGAGACAAATTTCAGGAACTCACTAATATTTTCTCGGCAAAAATGAACATTAAGTAAGGGAAATATCTATGGATTATAGATAACTGCATATTTCGAGATGAAGGTAGATAAGACACATAGTAGTATATCAAGAAGAAGCAATATCACCGATATAGAAATAACGTAGAGCAAATAAATTAGATTTTGTTTTTTTCTTTTTAATTTTCCTAATCAAATTGATTTATTCATTTTTTTTGTTGTGTTTCTTTTTATGTAACTATTTAAATATATTTGACCATTGGAGTTTTCCGATAAAAAGAACAATTGCAAACAAAGGGAAAAACAAATTTTACAAATAAAAAACAATTTTAATCGATGAAGCGTTCATTTGCAACTGAAATAACAGTGTATTTTTTTCTCCCTTCTCGAATTCTCTATCAATACTAATTCACACCCAAATATCGTTAAGTGTATCATCTTCTAGTTCTTCGGGTGGCATTGCTTTTAACGTACGCAGTGTTTCCATGTAAAAAGTCAGTTCTGATGTGACCATACCACATTGTGGCCCACCATTATTCACAATATTATATTTGATAAGTAATTCTCTAAGTTTATCTTTAAAATTCTTATGCACCACACGGTACAGTTGATGAATTTGCTGTTCAGGTAAAATGGGCGATAGGGCCTCATGCAATTTAATAAAATGCCGTGAAATATTGCGAAATGATTGCGACGGAACCGGTGGTCTTGCGGTCCAATTGTTCAGCAAATTATGCACCAATGTTGTTACAATGGTCATCACTTTCGTTTCGATTTCTTTGATGTGTGAGAAAAAGTCCTTTTCGATTGTATCGAAACCGGTGTTTATGAAATTGTTTGTGGTTACAATCGCTCCAGATTCATTCGAATTGGCAGCAGCGTTCGCATTTTTCATTTCCAACTGTTGAAAGTGTCCTTTTATTCGTGGTATAAACCAGATGACCAACTTAAGGGAACGTGAAACCAGAGCCAAATTACCCGTTGTAATGGTTGTCAATCCGGCCACACGTAGTGCACCAGCACCTAAATCAATAGAGACAAAAATTAGATTGTTTTCTTTTAAACTAACTACATTAGCTACATACCCAACACCAATTGGCAACATTTTGAATTGAATGTACGCAATAAATCGATGAGATGACGTGACAATTGCGTTGAAATCATTGGCAAACTGGCGGCACATTGGCAATATTCGCTGATTATTTGTACCAAAATCAATGCTGAATTGACTAACATAAATGGTTCGGCATCAACATAAAGCATCGTCGATGGTTTCGCTTGTCGTTCTGAATTGATTTCGTTTTTGGACCATGAAAAGTCACCGTCAGCAATGCGATCGATCATCAACTGATATTCGGCAGGCACTTCAACTTGTTTCCATCGTTCATTGTCCAAGAGTAACGACAATTTTGATTTACGCTCCGTATGAAATTTATTACCGAATTTGGTGGCTTGCGCTTGAAGTGCTGCCGCCAATGGTATTCGTTGAATGCCCGTAAGTTCTTCGCATCCTGTGCTGAATGCACGAATAATTTCCGCTAAATTTTTTATTTCATCGGCACTTGCCACATGCTTTTCGAGACTTTGGCTTGATATCAAGTTTGCACACCGTTCCGAACAGTAGTTACAAATGGAATGCATTATATCTTTTAATTTTTCTTCGACCTTCTTGTGATCGCTTTCGCTTAAGAATGTTTCAGTGTCGAATGTTTCGTCGATATCACTGTTAATCACACATTTACCAGCACTTGCTTCAGATACTTGGTGCATCACATCTAAAACACGTTTGATTCTCCTCAATAAGCCGAGTAGTAGAACCGTTGCTTTCTTCAGCAAAAAAATCCATTCTTGAATGGTTAAACATTGTGCCACCTCACCCGCTCCGGTCAAACATCGTTCATCGTCACTCGTCGAAATCACTTCAATAACCAATTGCTTTATTAGTGCTCGAATGGCAACGATCGCTTCATCGCGATAGGTTTCGATGAATGAAAAATTATTCTGTCTCAATAGGCCTGATACAATGCAAATTAATTTATCTTCATCATAAACACGATCGTCGTCGTCGTCGTCATCGTGACCACCAATCGGTCGGCTTAGATCCATTGTTGAATATTTTTCAAATTCCGTAGCCAACATTTTCGATACCAATCGTTCCATTTCGGTTAGTTGTGATGGCAAATGTTTAAAACAATGAATACCAATCAGTTCTTGTGCAACAATTTCTTGTGTTGTTGAAATTAAATCTAAAGCCGCTACATAATCTTGTGTTCCCAATAATAATTGGATCATTGGTTGTGTTTGATGCACCGTTTGCATTAATTTTAATTTATCATAAATAATACCGTAGTGTGTTCGTTTTCGATCAAGTGTTACAATATTCACAGCATTTTTAACGAATTTTTCATCGAGCAATTTCATTTTTTCGCGCATTTTTACCACATTTTTGCTCGCATCATTCATATTCTCCATGATTGCATCTTGTGATGTCATCGCATGAAAAAAGGCCGATGATTTCTCCGAAACCTATGTATTGGAAAATAAAACGATAGATAAAGCATTCTATATTATATTCGGACGATAAGATTTCGGGTCAAAATAATAAAATTACAGTGAATTTTGAAATGTATTGTTTTTATTTCTGTTGTGTATGTGTGTGTGAAAGAAAAAAAACCCCATCTTATCTCAGTTTGAACTTGCCTGTTTTGCAATCAGCACCTCAACGATATCTAAGTAATGGGAGAGTTTTTCCTGAAGTAAACGACCCGATTTTTTATTATCCGCATCACAAATACCCGGAAAGACGGCATCAAATGTCTCTAAATTCGTGAAATCTAAATTTGGTTTAACAAATATTTGTGGAATGTCATCTAAATTGGCATCATTTATTTCGTATGTAAGTTTACGGCTGGCATGACTAGATGAAACGATATGATTACTGTTTCCATTAACAAAGCTGTTACAATTAAGTTCACTGATATCGGAAATCATCGATGACGTGGATGGTCGTTGGTGTTCTATTGATCGATTGGTCGGTGATGCATTTTTTGTTGGTGAAAATTGCGCCGCAAATTCATGTGATTGAATATTTTGATTAAGACGCACATGCCGACGATAACGTTTACCAATCTGTTTGATGTAATCGCTTAAATGATCGTATGTTATATCAGGCAATAAATGTGTTGGACTTATTTGGACTTTTTCTACAAAACTATCGCCCCATTTTTTGGTGAAAATGTTCGATTGTTTGCCGCGACTCGGATCATTTAAAACAGCTGGAAGATTTTGGGCGGCCATATAAACGGACCATTCTTCCGGTGCATCTCGTTTCGTGTCTGTCATATGGAATTTTAAAACGTGCGATTCATAATCACGATCACTGACACCGTCCACTGGCAACGAGCAACATACACCTTTATAGCCGTAACGACACACGTACGAACCACCTTCGCGTGTACAATGGCGATCACGTAAATGTCTAGCGCAAATGAAAAATTTAGAGCAAATGATTAGGCGATAGGAAAATAAACAAACAAACAAAATAAAAATAAAAAAAAATTCAAAAAGATGGTGTTGATTTTTACCTTAAAAAGTCGGTAGAAGTTTTGAATGTTTGTAATGAACAAAAATTACATGTTTGCCACGTTTGCTGTTTGTCGGCCGCTGTAAATGCTTTTGCCATTTCATATTTCACAGTGTCGTTTGCAAAGGTACTTTCATTGATGCAGCGCTTCGATATTACTTTATGTTACAAATACAATTGCTTTTTTATCATTTCCAAATTTGTACGTTCATTATTGAAGAAAATTTCCAAAAAAAAAAAAATGAAATGCAAACTGCACGTACTTCAATACTCGACACCAATTATCACCTGCTCTGTTATTGAATTACTCAGTCATTTAATGAATTTATTTGGCACTACACCCAGTTCTCTCTTTCTCGTTCTTGCTCTCACACTCTTTTTTGCTCGTTCAAATCTGTTACACTTTTTCAATCACACAACACTTTAAATTCTTGTAACAAATGTTGATTTGCTGTTTTCTTTGCAATTGTGATTTAAAGCATTGAGAGTCCAACGATCATCAATGAATAGTTGCCTTCTTTTTCGAAAATTAACTTTTTTTTCTCTGTGTATACAAGGTCTGAATTGAAATTATGTGTGTGAGATAATGTGTCATGTCATGTGTCGCGTATTCGATAAATAGACATCAACCGAGAAATTGTATTGAAACGTCAAAAACTCTTTTCACGTAAATATACGTTGAATACGCGTTTGTCAGTTGTCTGATGCTGGAAATGCATGAACACGATGACACCAATGACGGTGTACACTGTAGAAAAGTGATTGGGAACTATGCGCATTATGTGTATGTGTATGTAGCGCACCTCATCGCAGCGTTTGCTTGTTTTGATTAACTGACATTTGGAATTACATAAAGCACGGTTTATACGAAACGCGGCGAAAATATCGTGAATAAAACCAGCATTTTATGTGTTTTCATCGTTGCATTCTGATTGGAAAACATTGAAAATCCATAATTATCGCTGAATTATGCAATATTCCGTTGTTTATCATGTGAATGATGTAATTTTTCAATGGTTTTTGTAACCCTGTTGAATCATTTGACACAATCGACGACCGACAGCCGCAATCAAAACAAACAATTGGCGTTTGTGTGGGAAGAATAAGACACCGTAGGAGAGTGAAAAGTGCTCCAAATAAAAGCTCGTCACTTGTCGTTCATAAATTGGAATTCATGAAATTGAAGTATGTTCGTACCGGTAGCGTTTGCGCCATAGACTGAGTCAAAAGTACGCGTGGTCCATGTTATTTGCGGTGGTGCTTTTTTTCCTCTCCCTTTCTTGTATTCAGTTCATGTTGTTGTTGGGTTTGAGAAATTCGCTGTGTGACTTCGGTGTGTATTTACTAAAAAAAAATCTTCAGTCCAGTTCTCGTTTCACTGTTCTAACAGCAACAATGTGTGTGCATGCAATGTGCTTGTGCTTATATCATATTTTATGTGTTTTGTTTCGTGTGCAAAACTAAGTGCACGGAATTCGAAAAGTGCGATTTATATTTGAACTAATGAGTGTTGTGTAAGTATTGGATTTGATTCCAATAAGAGAAAGAAAAAACAACATCACCAAACAAGCGTGAAAGAAGTTTTTGTTATTGAGAAATGCAATTGAAAGTTAAAGAATAAAAGTTTGATGAGAATTAATAAAATCAACGAGGTGCGTGCTACTGGTAAATTTGATGTAGGAAATGACGATTTTTAGTGTACAGTGAAAAAAATGAAAAGAAAAATGAAAATATATAGCACGCATTCATGAAAGAATTCGACCTCACAAAACAATCATGTGCTGTTTGTATGTGATTCTTTGTTTTTTTTTTCCTTTTTTGCTTCACCCATTCATTTTTTCGTTTTCTTTCAATTCCAGTCGATTTTTTAATCGCGCTATGGTTTCATATACACAGAACGCTCTTTGTTATGGTATTCAACCATATATACACAATTAAACACTATGGGCTAATAACAACATAGCAACGCTGCTCAAATAGACAACTCTACTCTCTCAGTTCGATTCGTGTACAGTGTTTGTTTATGCTTTTGTGTGTGTGTTCTTCGTTTTCTTTATATTATTTCTTATTCTTCGATTCATCATCGAACAACTCTTACTTTGAGTTTTCTTAGGCTTTGTGTATGGATTTTTGTGGCGTTCGCCATTTACATGAAACACCTATGAAATTCTGATCAGTGTAATACAACAAAAAGTTACATCGTGTTGGGCGAAACGTGATTGGGCATTAGCACACACTGCATCGCATTGCTTGGCCTTGGATCAATTGACATTTATTCTCTGCTGCTTGAGCGTCATTATTTATTTTTTCGCTTTTGTTCTTGCGGCCAACTTAGATTTATTTATTTTTTTACATTTTTTTCCATCAAATCGCTTGCAGTTGGAGTCCATCAAATCGCTTGCAGCTATTTCAAATAATTAATAGAGAATCCGGATCCAAATTTAACAACATAATAATATAGGAAAAATACTAAATCTCGATGATGAACGCTTTGCTTTGATCATTTGTGCTCCACATCAATAAACGTCCATTCGCCATGTAGCAATTTAGTTGGCGAAACATTGGCAAATTACTTTCGCATTATTTACAAGGCAACAATAAAAAACTATTTCTTTTGGTAAAACGAAATTTCTTTCGTTTCGATGATTCATTTAAGACTTTAAGCCAAAAATCGATTACCCGAAAATATTGCCGAAAATGTAATATTCTTAGTCGTTCTTCGTTTCAAAATGATGGAATACATTGTTCATTTTTTGCTTCAATTTGTCCTTTCTTTATCAGCAAAGAGAGAAAAACTCTCTTATGTCATACATCTGTTTTTTTCGGGCTTGTTTTTACGTTCGGCTGAAGTAGCATTGATATAACAAGTTTATTTGTCGATTTTAAGACTGCGAACCAAATCGAAGAAAACCTATTGCATATATGAAACTCGTTCTAATTCCACGTTTTGATTGTGTAACCGAAAAAAACCTCACTTGAAGCTCATTGCACATAGTACGGTAGCACAAACACACACGTACACAGTATAAAGAAATCGCAAAAATCAATAAGAAACAAATATATATATTAGATGTGAATGAGTGTATAATGGAATTGTGATTATAAATTTGATATGCGAATTTTCTGCACAAATCTACCAACTCCGATATATATTCATATAGTAGGTGCTCGTTCTCCAGCGCTATTTTCAAAAGTGGAGAGAGAGATATGCTGAATTTGTATGGTCGTTATTTCGTAGTATTATTTAAAAAAGAGAGTAAAGAAAAACAAAATATTGAGTCATTATTTGACGAAAAAAAAATCGCGACCGGTCGCTGGGAGTGTTTATGATTAATATTTCTTTTTTGTGTGTTTTGTACCTATTTTGCATTTTTTTTTGTTTTCCCCGCAAATGAATAAAAATCACCGTTGGTTTCTATTTATTTAGGTTAGCATCTAGTTAAACATAAAAAAAAGTTTGTGTGCAAAAACGTCTAATTATGTATTTGGGTTCGAGCATCGAATAAAAATTGAATGCAAAATCAGAGGCTCTCGGCAATACCACCATCAGCAGCAGCAATAAACGCCAACAGCATCGAATGCAAGACGGTTTAAACGAAGGTAAATGACATTCACTCACTTTATACGCCATAAAAAAGAAAAGTGCACAGTTACCAAATGGGGAAAAATAGTGACTTGATGTCACTTGATTCAAACATAAGATAATTAGCATAAATTGTAAAATCATCAAATATTTGAGTGTATCAAATACATTGTACCGACGGAAATACAGCTTAAATCATATAATTGGATTAATTTCGATTCAAATTTGATGCATTTGCAAGGCATAAATACAAATGTATACAATTTAATCCCTTTTTGATTAGTCGCATGAATTAAAAGAGAAACAACGTAATTTTATGCAATGTTAAGAAAATGGAATGGCAAAAAAGCGCGAGAGAGAGAGAGAGAGGAAGGAAGAGAGAGAAAGATAAAGAGATGTATCCTGTTGATGACGATGAGCTTTGCATAAAGATCATAATAAGCTTTTGTTTGCTTGTAAACCGTGAATGACTTCACAAGCATACATGGGCATGGTCGACATTTGTGGAGGGGGTCCATCCGACATCAACTCCAGAAAATCGGAAGAATTTTTCTTTCAAAAAATCCTAGCAAATCATTCCACTCCCATTAAAATCGGGAGAGTTATCCGGGTTCACACCCACCTGTGCCCATGTATGCTCCCGAGCAAATTAAGCCTTTTACAGTAATAGTGTGAGTTTCGTGTGAACTAAATTAGCTGAAAGTCGTTTACACATCGTGCTCTTTGTAATTTCGCTCCAACAGTTCAACCAAAAACCAATACCATCGGCGACAGCAACCATAGCAACAAACGTTGGCAAAAATGGAACAGGATAATTATTGTTTGCATATAATTTTTTCCTTGTTTCCTTATCGAATTGTTTACACTTAATCGAAATCGAAAATGAGTTCGTTATTAGAACAATGCCAACTAATTAAAGAGTTAGAAAAGTCAATCTATAATTTAAAGAAAACGAAAGAAAAACATTGACCTCGGTATATACTGGTATGCAATGACTGAGATGGAAATTTTGTACTCGACTCTATATACACCGAAGACATACAGGGTTTTTGTGTTTTTTTCGGCGATCGATGAAAAGTTACATAAAATCCGAGTAGAAAAATAAATGTGACACTTGACATGCAAATTTAAATTACACTTTTCACAGTTTCTGAATAATTGGCTGTGAGTATAACGGCCACTGATGATTTCATTTGCATTTCCATAGTAAAGTGGATGAAAACCGTTGAGTTGATGTTTTCCATGGAAAAAAAAATTCTCGGTGAAAAACCGTAGGGAGTGTGATTGAAGCGTTTGCAAGTGTGTTTGTAAACAGGTGAGGAATGTGATTGAATGAATGAACGAATGAGCGCGGGAAAAAAAGTGAATGTTCTACAAATCCTTGAGAGCATTAATTCTTTTAAAAAGAGATATGTGTCAACAATCAAGCCATAAAATTGACTTGGTCGTAAATCTTTTTAAATTTATAACAAATAATCTGGTGTGTTTAAACTATATATAATGTTGTTTGAATGCCCTGTGGATACTAGAGAACAATGCATACACATTTATCAGTGCAAAAATTTGCCGCAATGTGGCTGATTCGTATTGCACACAACTGACCGACATGCAACGAATTTTATTATGTCAGTGGAATGAATATGGAAATGGTAGCTCACACTGCCAATTTATATAGTCCTCCAACGCAACATAGTAATATTGATTCACGGTTTTATCGTCATTACTTTGGCTTAGGAAACTGAACTAGTATTGCGAAACACTAATATTATTCAATATGGAAATGAATGTCGACTCGAAATTATAAATTTTCAATTTGCATTGCCATTACGAAAACAAATAAATGTGAATTTATAGAGGCGAAAGAGATTTTATTTCGATTCAAATGAACCATTTTCCTTCATTTGTTGATTTTATGATTTCAACCAATGATTTTCTTGATATTTTTTAAATAAAAGAGAGAGAGCTCACAAACTCAAATATGATTGTATTATCGTGTAAAAGAACCGAGAAAAAAAATTCGTGTCAAAGTGAATGAAATTGAGTTGCAACGAAAATACATTCGATTACAATGAAGCGCGTGCACAAACTTATTTGAACTGATTATCTCCCTTTCTCTCGGGCTCTTGTATTCATGAGATTGGTAAAACTTACGTCTTCTCTATCTCCATTGCTATAAAAAGAACAATGAAATAACGTTTTTGTTTTGGATACTTAATGCGAGAAATGTATCAAAACGTCGACTTTTATTTCAAGAATAATATGCATAGTTTGAACGTTTTTTTCTCATTTCCAGATGCATTTCCAATGCATACACACATACACTTACACTCGACATTTAAAACAACAATTCCAGCGTGTAACGATTCAGATTGAAGAGAATTAACCGCCTTTTTTTTTGCTATTCCCTTTGCTCAATTCCTATGCGCGCACACACATACATTTTCCAGTCGATTCATTCTAAAGACCGTTGCAAAGACGGTCTAGCGCTACAACACACTGTTGACGACATTACACCAATACATAAGCGGAAACACCAGCGGAATACACATGAGCGCTGGATGCATGTAGTGGTGTAAGCCAAAATCATTCAAGCAAAAGATGCATGTGAATTTCAGTTAAACAACAATTTTGAAAAAGTGTGATTGCCGTTGAACTGTGGGAAATATCGTTAGTGCTAGTTCTCGCTGCTTCTTCTTCTTCGTACATCTCGCTGTTTATACGCAAAGTTCGTTATTTTTCTTTGCTGCTGTTGAAAAACTGCGCTCGCAATTGTATGTTAGCGATAGAGTAAATATACGCACTGAATTTATCTCTCTCTCTCTCTCTCTCATTCTCTCTCTCTGATATACATATGGAGAAAAATCGAGAGTTACTCAACTCTAATTCGATTGAATGTATGACTGCATGTAAATAAATGTCATTCTTTTATTTTGAGTGATTCTGTTCAACGACAAAAAACAATGTGTTTTTGATGATGAATCAAACTCATGACTTTTTGTTTTTGTAAATGACACTGAACAATTAAATAGAAATGTCATTCTAAAATTATTTTCGTAAAATAACAAACCAGATTCGAAACAGATGAAAAAATTAACATACTATCCAGTTGTTAAAATGCCATTACAATTTTTTTGTTGGTCGAGCTATGTAAAGCGCAATTAAAATTCTTGTTCATTCCGCAATTACAACTGATGATATTCATTTAACTGTCGATCCTAAACCATGAAGAAAAAAAATCGTCTCGTCTTTATTCCGTTAAGTTCTTATACAAACTCTTCGGGTCTTTGGAATTTAAATGGTTCAATTGCTTATCATTTCGTTTAGATAATTTGCTGGGCAAATATACACGTATATCGTATCGTTGGAAATTCCATGCGACGACCAAAACAACAACGGCAACAAAAATCTTACCTGTCGATCATTTTTCTCGTTGCCCTAATCAACAACGCATCGGCCAACAGCAGTTAACACAAAACTCTTGTGTTCGTTAAAACGACACACCAATGTAGACACGCACACACACAGAGAGAATTACACGACCATCACACATGCACAACACATATGTCAAGAGCGACATACACCATATTCCAAGCAGACTGCACAATTACATCAATCGTGGCATATAAGCATATGTGAGTGATTTTCGAGCAATGTATGAGTGTGATATTGCGTCAATGTGTGTTTGAATTTTGTCGAGGCAAAACTTGACTACGATATGCAACTATATCATCAGTTAGTTGTTCAACCGTTACGAGTTTGGTTCTCTCGGTCGATCGAGCTCACGAGCTCGTTCATATCGCAATTTTGTGGTTTTTAGTAGAATTTATAGTGAAACAAAATAAAAAAGATAGAAATACCAACAACAATACACGGTCACCAGAACCCGATTTTCCGTGGGTTTCTCGTAATATTGGTCGATTTTTTGTGTGTATGTATATTGTCGTTATATCCGTTGTGATTCTATCTCTTATTAATCGGTGTGTGTTTTTTTTTATTGGAATCCTCCGAACGAAAATAATCCAGATAAATAACAAAATAAACGCAGAGCATTCTTAAACAAAACAAAAGAAAAGAATACAAAAAAACCATAAACGTTCTTGAAATTGAAGAGAGAGAAAAAAAATCTCAGTGTGTGATTCATTTACGTTTTCTTATTTCGTGTGGTGGCAATCATCGATGACAACAATAGTATTTCGAGCACGACACCAGAGAAAATAAACGATGAAATTCGATGTGTGTGTCAAAATAATTCCGAAAATAAAAGAAAAATTAAAATTATGAACACGAAAATCTTCATCAAAAAGTGCGTTGTTCATTCGATTTAAATCGTTGCGTTGGTGACTCTTTTTGTTCCACCCAAAAATAACATTCGAATGCATATTCATTTTACACGCGCGCACGCACACACATTGTGCTTTTGTGGATGAAATAAATACGATAATTGACATCGTTGCTGCTGGTGATGATTGCATCGCAGAAACGAGAAAAATATTAAATAACAATAAATGGACGCTTTTTTGTGCAAAAGAGAAAACAAAAAAATAAATAAACGTCGATAATTTTCGATGCATAATCATTGTAAGACTCTGTATTGGAGCGTGTTTTTAACAACGTTTTGGTGAAAATTAGTTTTTTATTTGTTTGTTTATATTCGCGTGTTGGGACCACAAAATTCAGACAAGAAATTTATCATCGTCGTGTTCAAAACGCCAAGAAAAACGAACGACAAGATTAACGGCACATCCAAATTGAAGCGATTTACCTGTCCAGTGTTGACCGTAAATAATACTTGACCATTTCAGTGAATAATTCATATAATTATTTGGACAAATATATGAAAGACATAGATCCGAATTTCCTCTTCAAACAAGGTACGGTCGTTTTTTTCTCTCTCTAAATGAACATTGTTTATTGCGGTACTCGTTAAAAACGCGTGATATTTTCTATATATATATGCGTAATTATTGGACCATGGTTAGCAAACAAAATGTTTACATTTCGTTCATTTCAAGCAATGAATCCCGTTGATTACATTCACACATATGACTGGTACATGTACTCAGTCTCTAATTGTTTGGTAAATCTACTTAGTATTCAAATTTCACAGTTTTTTTCAAGACGCAGGCATCGATGTTATTAATTGAACGATATTTTTTTTATTTGGAATTGGCGCGATCAATTGCAGTGGCATTATCATTTAACTTTGTTTCACAAAAGGAACAACAACATTCATAACATGTGAATTAATTTTTAGCGCGACCATGTAACCGAACCGATACCATAGCGGAATGATACCTCCCGCTGATACGTACGCATTTTGCATCGATGAATAATTCGCTTTATCTCATTTATTATAAATCATGAATACGCCACAAATCTATGACTAATCGTGGCCGGGTATTTCATCCATATTCTCGCATTCATTGCGTTCGCAATGGGCTTTTAATTAATGATACATGGCTTATGATGAAACTTCAATATAATAACAATTATTCTATTATGTGTGACTTCGTATAACGATGAAAATTGAATTTGCACACGATTTCTGATGTAAGTCTATCGTGTCAGCTCTTTCACACACTGTTGCAGGCATGGTCACAGTGTTAAATAGCTACGTGAGAGATATCGTTTTCATTGTTTTTCAAGTGAAAAAAAAATGAGTGCGGTAAAGATGTGTTAAAACCAGATTTTAATTAAAAATCTCCCACAAAACTCCGTCGCTGGATAGATCCGTATTGGTCGGAAGAGTGAAAAAACGATGGTTAAATGTGAAAAGCCAGAATATTTAAACAATAAAAGACGAAAACATAATTCTTAATAATTCTTTGCAATCGACAGAGATTACGAATGTCCATTTTTGGAACATCGAAAGAGACACATTCATCGTGTGCACACATACACCGTCAAACCTGATTCAATCCATAACACATACATGAGCACACGATCATACGGGAACACAAAACCGAATATTACGAGAAAAAAAAACACAGATAGTTTTATTCAGTGTTGTCGTTTCCATTTCATTTGTTCGAAGAAGTCAAACAAAACACACGGCGAAACGGGTTTCTTCTCTCTTCTTTTCGATTTGGTCGTCTATACATACGTTTCTTGGAATTTTAGTTCAGTCATGCTCGTGTGCACCGTCAAATTCTTAGAGTCAGCAGATAGTCTCTCTCTCTCTCTCTCTCTCTCTCTCTCTCTCTCTCTCTCTCTTTCGTTCGCATTCACAGAAGCGATTCAACTTTCATTGTGCGGACTTTGTTCTGGTTTTTTTTTCTCGTTCACACTGTAGATTTTTAAAAAAAAAAAAAGCTGATTGTTTTTGTGAAGTCGATACGTGCTCTGTTTGCAGATTGATTTTTTGAATGCGCGCTCGATGCGCTGATGATTACAACTTGATGGATTGGGTTATGAAACAGTTTTGATATATATACGTTATAACGCAATCATCATCAACTCATTTATTTGTTGCATTTGTGTGTATAATTTTTTCTTCCCTTCCACTAATCAAAAAGCATTTCGACCGATAACAATAACAATACAAAATTCAAAACTAAACATGTTTGGTAAAAAACATGAAATATCTCTGTCATATTCTTATTTTTCCAAACTTGTGTTCATTCTATGGGCCCCGTAAGCTTAAAATGCAAAATTCGAACGTACACCCGCGAACGTGCGCTGACTCTGGTGAAGAAAAGGAAACCCGTCGTCGTCAATCGTCGAAAAACCTGTTTTAAATTATGCCAACACATTTATTTGTCTTCTTTGTTCGGTTTCGAACGAGAGACCAATATGAAAAAAACAACACTGATCTCTTCGTTTCAATTCCATGCACTGCATTGCATCGACATCAAGCATAGCAACAAACATAGCACTCGACGAACAATCGAATGCATTCTCTATTGCCATTTTCAATACAATATATATGACAGAGAGATTGTAAATAAAAGGCACATCGTGTATCAAAATCAAATTAATGAATTCACCGTATAAGTCACAGCAGTCGACATGAACAACAGAATTTATTGACTTCGAATTTATACGCTTCGCAGTTCATATAATAATTAAATGGCCACCATTTTCGAATGATTATCAGATTTAGCAATGCCAACAATGGGCCTCGTTTTCATAATTACGGAAATGTGACCGGAATCGATTAGCACAGCAAACCATTGAGGTGGTTAGTTTTTTTTCTTCTTCTTTGATGATAGAAATGCCGTTTTATAGCCTAGGTAAATTAAAAATTCCATTTGGTCCAGAAAGTCGAGATTTAGTGTATTGACTAGCGAGAATAGAGCCAACAAATGCATTGCACTATAGGCCTTTTACATTAAAATACAACTACAAACAACTTCGACCTGTTTTCAAAGCAAACAAGCGAAAAACACTCAAATGTTCAAATTTTATGTTTGCAATCGATGCATTTCGACTGTTTTGTCTGTATTTTATTTGGTTGCATCTAACTACAAATGCAACGTGCTCGTCATCATCGACGTTCTTCATTTTATTACATGCAGCATGTTGTAATTATGATTATTGTTGGTGTTTACGTAGTTTTATGGTTGATAATTGCAGCCAGCACTCAAGCACTCAGTGTCTCGTGCACTTTTTCAAAACATAAAACCATGGTTCAGTGGTATGAACGATTCAATTCGAACAAAGAAAAGGTGTGCTGTTGTTGGCACAGACACATTGCTTGTCGCCGCCTGACGACAACGCATTTGCAATGAAATGAACAAAAGGCGAAAATGAAGCACTTGTTTTGTGTTCAAAGCATCGAATGTCGAACGAAAAGAAAAATGCTTGGAATCGTTTTGTGGCTGCACCATAAAAATATGCTCACACATTGAATCTTCTATATTTTGCTGTGTTGTTGTTATTGTGAATGGCAAAAAAGAGCAAGCGAGAGATAGAGATATATAGATAAAAAAGAGAGAAAAAAAAATTAAAAATAGAGAGAATGCAGTTCACAATATGGCACTCGTTAAGCTTCGTCCGTGTTTGGAACACATATACTAAAAGTTATTTTTTTCACTATTTGTTTCGCCTTCTTTATTGCACTCGTCGCATTTTCCAAGTTGGATTTCAAATGGCTTGCTTTCTTTATCTTGATCACTCTTTCAAAGTTGGCGCATTCATTTTATTGCTTTATCTCTTTGGCATGCCCATAACCATTACAGGTTTGCTTGGTTGTTTATTTATTTCTCGGTTTTTATTGTATGTTTATAATTGTGTGTCTGTGTATGTATGAAATGCATCGAAATGTGCACTGCTTCAAACTAAATTGATGCTACGAACTTTGGCTCTGTGTCTCTCTAATTCTCTCTTAGCAATGCAATATAAACGCACAGTGCATATACGGCGAGATTGGTAATCAAAGCACTCTTACAGCCGATTTAATATGTATACCGGCGCTGGAGCACCCGCCCGTTTATTCGCAAAATACAACTGTGTAAAATAAACCACAGCGTATTATCTGTTTGAATTCCATTACGTCGAATGAAATGATGGAGAGCGAATATGCATTTGTCAGTATAAAAGCGACGACGACGATGATGATGATGATGATGTGAATTAAAATGTAGGTTGGTGCGCTTGATGCATGCACAAATCTATACATGTATATGTAATCCAATCACAATACATATTGTTCGAATGTGTTGAGTGAATGAGCAACGTATGTGTACATGAACGACTATAGAAAATTGCATGCATTCGCATTTTACCCACATATATCTGTTTGGCTTTAGACTATTATGTAGCTCATTTTTGCGTAAGCAAATCCCAGTACGGACATTTAAACCATGAACACTCCACGCACACTCGCGACGACGAATATCCATGGTTCGAAATTAAACACTCAATTACTTTTTTGTATACATTTTTGGGCTGCGTTGATGAAATAATTTGCACGAAAGTTGTCAATGTGTGTGTGTCAGACCGTCGAGATTTCCGTTGCGACGTACAGCAATCAAATTGGCAACCATAATTATTATATATATGCATAAATATGTGCCACAACATTTCGCCTTCATTCATCATTTCGCATAACAAAAGCGCACACGCACCGACTTATTATGAATAAATTGTGCAGCTAAAATAGCTTGCGAATAAAACATTTTAATTTAACCTGGTAGTTTTTTTTTCTTCACTTCATTCGGTTTTATGAATTTATTATTAATAAAAGAAAAGCCAAAATCCGACAATTGTTTTGCGACAAAACACGTAATTTATTTTTTCGCTTCTGTGTGTAACCTTCGAAAATGAATGGAAACGCGACCCAAATGTTACAGGGCTGTCTGACGGAATGCTCTGTGTGAAACGACAATGGAGATCTTGGGTGCAGTGCAATTTTGAATATTCAAGAAAAAATTAAGTTAAAAATTGTCAAGTCGAAGAAAAACCAGCAGAGAAAAAAAACTAAATAAATAAGAGAAAAATTACATTTGGTTGATATGAACCACAAGTGGTTTCGTTGAAAACTACCGCACTTTTTTTCTCTTTCGAAAATTGGTTTCGCAGCAAGAGATAAGATATATATACCAAATATGGTATACGATTTCAAAAACCGAAAATGTTATTGTTGTCAAATTCAATTTCCGAGAAATCAAGCGATATGTGTATTGTTGCACTCGCACAAGAAATTGGAAGTATTCAAATCTCCGATTGTTTGCACATACACATCATCCAAAAACGAATGTGTATCTATGGAAATTGAGTTTTCTCTGCGAGTAACTTTCTCGGGGAATTTCGTTCATCAGTTTCAGCGCGACGGTAACATTCTATCTTTTTCAATTTTGTTGTTGTTCGATTTCATGAGAATAATTCAGCTCCAAATTCCATATGTACATGTCAGAGAGATAGCATCGCA